CCTCAAAAAGGAAAAAAAAAAAAAAAAAACACAAAAAAAAAAAAAAAAAAAAAAAAAACTACAGTCGTAAACATTATCTTTATAATAAACAAATTTAAACATCTGTGGATTTTTGTGGGTTTTTATTATGCTAATTAAAACTCAATTAGATATTTAAATACATTAATATTCATTATAGCTGGGGTTCTTAACTGTGGTCAATCGACCCTTTGCTGCATTCTTTATTTTACAAAAATAAAAATAAAAATTAACTACAAACTTTATTCTAAGGGTCCATGGTCTTCATCTGACTAGGTTAATTTACGACGATGAACTGCATTCAATCCATGTAAAGTAAATAAATAGGGGAAAAAAATATGTTTGAATTGTTTGGGTTTGAAAAAAAGACTGGACAATTATTGCATAGTAGGCTATAGTTTTACAAGCACGTTTCGGCTTATTTATTTGACTAGCAACGCTATGGGTTCTATGGGACAATGTTTTAGAACCCCAGAACTATAGTATTTTGGCAACTTTTTAAACAACACATTTAAGTCCAACCCTGAGGGCCGACTGCTGTTGAAAAACATTCAACTTACTACAGTATTTACAAAAAGAACCTGCAAAGGGGCATCACCCTATATTATTAACGACATCTCGCTACGTCCCCTTACGCCTACACTTCCGCTGAAAGTGCCAACTCAATCTGGAAATGCTGTTGATATAAATTTGGTTTTTGGAGCCCACTGGAGTATTTCGAAAATTTTATTTATGTTGTGCGATTTATATAGTTATGGAGGTTAGTAAACCTACGCCATTTTTGGAGAATGTTAATTTACTTATTACCTCTTAATTGAAATTGAGGAATAATAATCATGATCATCATATTATGCATCATAATCATGACGATGAGGAGTTAGATGACGGATGAGTCGGATGAATGACTTCAGAGTTGAGTTGAGATTGTGTATGCTGTGTTTTTAATTTTATTTTAATGTGGGCAGGCTAATGTACCTACATTTTTATTTAGTAGGCCTATTTAAATTAATTAAGTTTTATTTATTATATTGAATAATTAGAAGGCTAATTTAATTGTTAAAATTATCTAGTAAATTCGTTAATTGTTAATTCTACTGATCACTGATACTGACTACAAGACGTACTCACACTTCACTACTAATTTACTAATGATGTAAATGTAGTACTAGCTCCAGATCAGGGGACAATTATCACACACTCTCACATATTATGAATGAAATAATGTCAGTTCATGTGTGCAGCGAGGATCCTATGGTATCCTATAAGTCTATATTTAGTCTATATCTCTGGTCTAAATAACTGATTCCAAGAATGTCATTTTATAATGCAGTCGTAGTAGTACTAGTAGTAGCTGTGCCATTGCGTGGCAGGCCCCTACCTAGGAAATTCGGTCCCCAGGCAGCTGACAGAGTTCGGGCCCTTTCGTGTTACAAACATGTGCATATTATTATATATTTTAAAACTCGAAAAGGCTGGCCCCATCTAGCTCGGACGCCTGGCAAGTGCCATGGTTGTCCGCGCCCCCCCCCCCCTCTCAATTTGGAGAATCCCAACATTGGACTTAGGGTGACTGGACCAACAATTGGACCTGAACGATGAGCCGATGAGAATGATAACTTTCCAGTTTTATACTGAGCATTATTCGTGTAAAAAACATAAACTGATGATTTATACAGTTACTTATTATGTACTGATTTGGAAAGAAATTTCCCTTCTGTTTTTATTAAAATTCAACTTTCAAGGTTCAAAAGAAATGAAAAGAGAAACTCATCCTTGCTGATACTGCAAGGTGAATATCAGAAAAAGATATGTTCATGGTTAAAAGTGCTAGTTTTTGATTGGTTGAAAACAAAGTACCAATATCTATTCATTACTACAATTTGGCAATTTAACTGGACATACCAGCATAATTTCTACCCCCCCTTTACAAAAAAATAAACAAAATAATTTTTCAAGAAATAATTTAAAAAGGAGAAAAAAACATCAAGTAAATGCAAGCTAAGTTTTGAAGTCTATTGATAAATGGAACTGGGGAACCTCCATGACCAATATACTGTGGAAATATACTGTGGAAGACATCGCAGGCCCGGCCGCTAACTGCATTTTAGCCTTTATGCCTAATCATTTAGAATTTAAATTTAGGCCTGCGTCTATAGAGATAGACTATCATTTATCAATTCAATTACCTTCAACCAAGTTTGGTAGGCATTAACTTATATTGTCCAAATTCTAATAATTTCTGTGACAAGAACTCTAATCCAACATATATGTCTTTGCTTTTCAGACCATGACATTGAAAGAGATCAAAGGATAGTGAATTCAGTCCTGATATAGTTTAATTGCTTGATAAAATTTAGTTGTGGAATTTCTTACAAACTACCAAAATAGTTATAGAATATAGTACTGGGTAGTTTGAAAATAAAATTTCCAGCCTGATATAAACATTTTATAATTAATAAGCCTACCATGGATGTTCCCTCAGAGTACAGGGCTTCAAAAAGTAAGTTTCATAGTTACTGCTTTACAATTCATCCCCAATCTGTTTGATTTTTAGATATTTTTAAAATTCTGAAAACATTTTCAAGACATGTATTTTGAATGAAATATGCATTAAGAATCTTGAACAAGATCTCTACCAGTATTTAATATATTTTTTCATAACAGCAAGCCAGAAGAGGAGGCCAAAAGGATCTAAAGGACAGCAACAACAACCCAATCCTGTAGCAGCAACACCCCAATACTATAATGATTTTAGTGCTTCCAATTCTGCACAGTTTATGCCAAATCTCGGCCAACCTGATATGTTTTATGGTGGACAGGGTTTGTGAAATCCTACAAGTTTACAGTGTGGTCTTAAAAATATGGGTTGTTCAGTTCAGGTCGTCTTTGGCAGTACATAGATAACAGTTCATATTTTAAAATTCTTCATATTAACTTCACTTTTGTGTGTTTAGGGCAAAAATCTGACAGCTAATTGACACATTTCCCGTCAACATATCGAGCTGAAATTTGGCACATTGACTCGTTGCCAATAATAAAACATTGTATCAAATTTTCAGACCCAACCCCCATAATTCAGATAAAAGAAGTATGATGCCACTGATTTCACGAATTAATAATCCAGATAACTGCGCTAAATGAGATTCTTTTTAAAAAAATATCCCAAGTGCATTTGGTGTTTAATGTTTCCTTTTGTTTTTCTGAAATACTTGGTGAAATAAATATTAAAAATCAAACTAATTGTTAACTATCATTGACATTGAGGCAACAATATAACTTATCTGGTCCAAGAATTTTCTTAAATTATTGTTTGAAATATTTTTTCAAACTTAAATAAAGGAATCTGATAATTCCTCCTATTCTGATCATGTATCAGATTTTTTTTAAATTCCTCAAAATCTGACCATGATTGTGATCCTATGTTATCACAAGTTACAGTTTACACATGATTTCAAAATGAAATTTATATTCCTTTTCATAACTTTTTGGAAAAAATTGTCAAAATGTGTTGCTAGAAATATATAGGTTTTCTTAATAAAGGACCCCTACAGAGAGGCTAACATTGCATATTTATATAATAACCTTTTTTTTTAAATTTATGCTTTTTGGACTTTGTAATATATATGAGAATTAAACAATTAATTTCACATTAAATGTAAATAACAGTAGTTATACTGATTGTATTAGTTTGTTTTTTGACATTAATTTTTATGTTGTATTAAAAAAATAGATTCCTTATCATAAAAACTGTTTAAAATCATGTATTCATTTTAAAACATTATGTCATTGCATCATATAGGTTTCAATACAAGTGGCTATGGTGGACAGATGGCGGGAGTGCCACAATTCCCTGGGCAGCAGCTTTTAAATGATCCAGTTGCAAACATGGCAATGCAGTATGGACACACATTAGCTGGACAGGGAAAAGATTTGGTTCAGAAAAATGTAAATATCTATTTAGAATTTTGTATGTTATCTTATTTGTGTACTGTTTGAGTGTTTTAATAAATTAAATACTTAAATTTTCTACATTTTCATCAAAAGTTGTTATTATTAAAAAAAATTGTTATCTATTTTTTTTTTCAAAACCTATTATTGTACTTCTTCTTAAGGGCCCACGATCAATGTATTGATCATTCTGGCTCCTATGTATGTTGAGTGGATTTGCAATGTTTCCCTGCCTGGTATTGAAGAGGATATTTCACTGGTTGCAAGGGCTACTCAGCGAGGGTATTGGGAACTGGGGATAGGAAGGGCTGAGGCAATAGACGTCAAATGTTGATTACTCAGCTGTTCCTTTTGGAAACTTGTTCCAGTCCCTGATTGTCTTTGGCAGGAATGAGTAGTTCTGTACTATGTTCTTGCTGTTATGAGCTGGAACTGCCTGTCATGGCCTCATTGCTGTCTTTGGGGGGGGGGGGGGGGAGATGAGTTTCTGTTTAATGTTGGAGCAGTTGATGGTTTGGTTGTTTACCCTTATCCTGGAGAGCTGAAATTGTGTTCACAGCTTAACAAAAATTGTGTTCACAGCTTAACAAGGCAACAATTTATCAATTTTTTTTAATGATTGACAGGTTTCGATACCATGAATTGGCAAATTTAAAAAAAAACTGTATTGTGATATAGTATAGGTTGTCCCTTGGAAAAAAAAAAAGAATCATTTTTGCTATTTTCTTGTTTTTACACAGATTGAAAGTTATGTTGCCTCTTCAAAACTGAAATACTACTTTGCAGTCGACACAGCATACGTTGGGAAGAAACTTGGTCTTTTGTTTTTTCCATATACTCACACGGCGAGTATTTTTATCATCCTTTAGCATTTTGTCCAATGATTATTAATCACATGAATAATTAATCTACAGTACAATGAGTAATTATTTTACCTTGTATAGTATTATTTTTCATCAAAATAACAAGTTTAAAAAACAAACCTTCAGGACTGGTCAATACATTATAATCAAGACGAACCGGTAGCACCTAGATATGAAATAAATGCTCCTGATTTATACATACCAGGTGAGTAAATTTAAGAAAAATTATTATAATAAATAGGAAAAAATCACGTCATTCAATGTATCAATTTTTTTCAAAAATTATTTTGAAAAGATATCAAATTTATATAAAATCCCACTCAAATGGTTTTAAGTTTAGCATAACAATGCTATAACACATTTTAGTATACCGATGCTATAAGGCATTTAAAATTAATTTGTTATTTATGTTAAATAAGAAGAATCATAATTTGAAATCCAGAATATTACATGTTCATATCTGTTAAGGTTGTTTACTGCTGTGACAAGTTATTTCATCTGTATGCTGTACATATGAATGAACTTTTGTGATGGTCTCTTTTCAGTTATGGCTTTTGTTACTTACATACTGGTTGCAGGAATGGTATTAGGGACACAGGGAAGGTAATGGAAATATATTTTTTTTAAAGAATACTTAAAACTGATAATAAAAAAAGTTACATATTTTTTAAGACAATAATAAACATTTTATGTTGTTTTTTTTTTACATATTTTTTCTGAACTTTATTGCTGACAAACATAATTGTGTACTTACTTTCTTTAAGGTTTACACCAGAGCAGTTGGGTACCCAAGCAAGTTCAGCTTTGGTGTGGATAATAATAGAGATGGTGGCTTTCACTTTAAGTCTCTACATTCTAAACTTAAGCACAAACCTGAAGTATCTTGACATTATAGCCTTCTGTGGATACAAATTTGTGGGGTAAGACAAGTTTATTCATTTCACTGGGCTGATGATCTATTTATTCAATAAAAAACTTTATTTTAGGTTTGGGATTTTAAATGAAAATAAAATTTAAAATGTACACTTTTAAACTTCATTTTCCCCCTCATAAAAATAACTAGAAAATAATGTTAAAAATAAATTAACTAAAGAATCAGTAATTTTCAGTTATGCATAAATGTAAAAATTCATTTTATTTTTTCCCCCACAGTATGAATTGCAGTCTTCTTGCTGGAGTAGCATCCAATACCACTGTTTATTATGGTGTTTTGTTATGGTTCTGTATCTCATTAGTATTTTTTTTGGTAAGCTCAATATGATTTATATTTTCTGGTTTTCAACACCTCTAAAGAAAATACATAGTAAATTTATTCAAAGCATATTATTTATAGTTATACATGTAAGAGAAAACAATGTGATCAGAAAATTGCCCCTGGATATTCCAAGGGCATATTATTTCCTGTTCTGTCACTTTAGAATATATTGACGAATTACAACTTTATTATTGTATTGTATTGCCACCCTTCTGTATATTTTTTAGATATTATTTGAGTGTGAACATTTAAATTAAACTTTGGAAATTAAAAAAAATAATAATAAAGTTGTATCTACCTTTTTTTATATTTTCAGATGCGTGCACTGAAAGTTCAAGTCATGCCCCAACAAGACAATGAGGGTTTTGTTAAAGGGGGAGCAAAGCGTAGTCTGTACCTTATTCTGTCCGTGTCCCTGACACAGCCTTTACTTATGTGGTGGTTAACAAGTTATGTCATGATTTTTAAAGCTACTCAACCATAGAGTAATGGTAACTAAAATACTACTTTTAAGCACGCTTAAAATAATGCCTAGCAGATTTTATCAAGGACAGTGAAATTAATCATTATCTAGTTAAAGAAATCAGGGGACCTCATCAAATTTTTAAAGAAAACAAAACAAAAACAAAAAAACATAGTTCAGTAAATCTTTTGTCACAAGGTAAGTTTGCTACATATTGTATTGATAAAATGAGGACCTTCTTTTGTACTTTCACATTACAATTACAAAAAATTTAAATACTGGCAATCAGTATGTTTTTTATGTTAGTGTCAGTATTGGCTTCATACTATAGAGTTTTCCCAAAACTGATTTTTACAAAATAAATGGTTAATGTCTTGATTCAATTTTTTTTAGTTTACACTGAAAGGGAATACTATGATAATTGTCATTCATTAGAGTTCTCCTTAATGAGAAGCACTAATTATTATGCATTTGAACAATGTTCTTGTAACAGGAACTGCCAGTATGAAAGCTTCCAAGCAGATTCCCTGTTCACTTATTTAGTTTTAAACTGTGGCTACAGATTAAATATGTTATTGATGTTACAGGACAATTGGTCAACCAAAAAAAGCATTAACAACTTTTAAGACATTTTATTTTCCTGAAACTGACATGTTATGTTTCTATATTTTATTAGGGTTGGTTAATAGATTTTTTATGGTAGATTATTTTAAAGGAGAAATTCTTGAACAAATTATTTTGGATTATGAAATTCATGTTTAAAATCTGATACTTGAATTTCTTCAAAACTCTGGTAATCTTGCTGCTTACACGATTGTTGAAAATATTTAATGGGCCATGAAGACTTGTAAAGCATAAAACTGTAGAACAATGTATTAAAAACCATTTACATTCACATGCAAGTTTTATTATGCCTATTAAATCTTATTTACCGTTATATTATATGGGATTGAACAGATAAATTACCATTCTTTTAAAAGTAACTTGCTTTGTCAAAACAAAGCTCAGCTAAATGAAAACTTAATAATGCTTTTGCTATATAAAAAAAAAAAAATAATAAAATCTTCTTTTGAAATGAAAAAATTAAAGCTCCATATTTCATTTATAATAACCAATTGACTAACATTTACTTTCTCTTATGACAGCTTATTTTTGTGTTACTTTTCTTTATGATTGATACACAAGGTATGAACAGTGTATTAATTATGCTTTAATATTTTTGCTTTTAGTTTAGTACTTTATCAGGTCTTAAAATTAACAGCATGTATTTATATTTGTTTGAAATTAAAATGAAAGTTCTGTAAAGAAAAGGTTCTTAATTTTAAAAAAGAAAATGTTATTAGTAATACACTTCTTTTAAATAATAAATCATGTGTAATGTTGTTGTTTTTTTTAACTGTTAGGTGCTATAACTATAAGTTATTACAAGGTGTTTAGTAGATGGAAGAATGAATGAATAATGAATGTGTTTTCGGACTGTATTGTTTCATTTTGAAAGAACCACAGGATTGGATTAATTTATGGATATTTGTTGGACATGGGTATAGTATAGTATAAAGCAGCACCAGTAATTATTTGTTTTAAAACTCATGTGGTTGCATTCATACTTTTTTTCACTGTGATTTCTGTGGCCTGTTCAGGTCTCCCTTGATCTTTTTTTGTGAGCAAAACTCTGCCATCCAATTATTGCTGTGGCTTATAATATACATGGTTCTGTGTGGTATCAATACCACAATAGGACTCAGGACTAATTTTCTTTTTCTTTACATGGCGTTTTATTTTTTGTCTAAAAATGAAAAAAAAAAGCTTTAAAAATTAAAAACATCATATAAAACAATTTTTAATTTTAATGGCATCAATTCTGTTGGCTCTAAATAACAACTTTTTAAGACTTCAGTATCATGAACTATTTGGCCTCATAATCATAATGGATGTCTATACCAACATGTTAAAAATAACATCTTATATAATTTTTATTGATCATGGAGCTTAATTTGACCATATGTGAATGCTGGCAAAAATGACCGTTGAATTCAATCAACAGCAGTAATAAAGAATCAAGGGGGCTGATTTTGATAATTAATTTTGGTTGGAGATTACATTATGTAATGTAAAGTGCCGTAACAGAAAAAGTAATGGTATGGTAATATGAAATAGCTAATTATCGGTACCTTTGATCAACGAATCTGTCAATCCAATTGGAATTAACATTACTTCCTTCATAGTTCTAATATGGTATATAATTGTAATAGATTTCGACTGCTGTACACATAATTTTATTATACTTTTAAGAAAGCACCACTAATAAAAGAATGAAGTGTTATGGAAATGTAGCTTCACTTGATATGTTAGCAGATTTCATCCTTTGTAAATTTGTCTTAAAAATATATATATTTGATCTACTCACTTTCCATTGAAAATTTGATTTAACTGTATAAATTAATCTATGTGAGTCATCTGCAGTTTAATTTTGTTTGATAAACTGGAAATCTGAGAAAGAACATAATTTCCTACAGTTATATACTAAAGACAGAAATTTATGACATGAAAGTTTAGTCATGTAAATAAGTTGAATTTGATTGATATGGGTTAATTCTTTTGTTTGGATTTGATATAGATCTACATCTAATCTTTATGAAGTGTAATAAGAATATCCAACTTTTTATAACTGTTGAAATATAATTCCTCAGCTTATTGTCTATAACTAAGGAATATTCATATTATTATTTGGGGAATATTGTTTGCATGAAACATTCTCATAAGCATGTATTGTATATGTTCACCACATTAAAAATATTCATACCAATTATATGTTTCAAGTCATTATTTGCCATTTACACTATGTTTTTTAAATGTTTGGAATTTAAATCTCTGATTTTTATAGTAAATTACCAATAAAACATCTGTATTGTTGCATTGAAACTAAAAACATGTCTATGCTTAATGCAAAATCTTGGGCTGGCCATTTCATTTTTATTTCCATGCCTCTTCACCAGTAGTGAGCAGAAGTGAAAGCCTCTAAACAAATTACATTTCAACTAGTAAATTGACATCTCAAATTTAAAAAAGCGGTATACTTCTGTTTTTAAGATTTCTAAAATGGCAACATGAGTTAAAAGGTAACTTCATGTAGAAAAACAGATGAAGCATATTTTCACTACTGGTACTCTACATATAGTAGGCCTACCAGTATTACCGGTATATAAAAATATTTGAATGTATGAATTTTGTTAAATTCTTTGAAATTTATGAAAGACAGCAACTCAAAAAGTAAAGATGTAATGTTTTTATTTAAAAAAAAACAAAAAAACATACAGCAATGCAAAAATCAAAGCCAACTTAAGCAATTTTTTAAAAAGAAAATCTTAATACACCAATCATGGCTAGTCCTATTTTTCCTTAGATGCCATATGCCGCATAAGATGACCAGTTAATTTTTCTAATTTTTTAACATCTTGTGCATGTTCTGTTCTATATTGCAAACACTGAAATATAAAGAAAGAAATATAATTTAAGGCAGTGCAATTTAATATATTAGTAACAACCTGAATTTCATTCTACCTTCTAAATCTAATTCACTGAAAATTGTAGCCCCCTTTAAACAAATATTTCAGTGTTAATAATAGTGTCCCCACACAAGATACACGAGCGACTGTGTAATTTAAGCATCTAATATGGAAACCACTAATAACAAATGAATGCTAGGAAAATGTAATGTAGAAAAAGTGATTGAAAACGCAGGGTAAAAATGAGCTAAAGCAGTGGTTCAAAACTCATGCACCACTCCAGTAATTTCCTAAATACTATTAACTAGAAAGGCATAGGTTAGGCCTAAAGGCCCTAAAGAAATTGATTCTAAAATTTGGCTCAGTGAGTCAAAAAGCTTGGGAACCACTGAGCTTAAGTATGTCCATAAAAAGTCATTATGAATTACAGATGTTCATAAGAAATGAGGGATTATAACTTTTAACAAAACCTTTTGAAATGAAACAACTCGGGATATTTTGACTACCATTACCATATAAAAAAATGATTCCAGCACTAGTTCTAGTTGACAATGTGATGGCATGATCATAGGAATAAGAGCAAAACAAATTAAAAACTTATGAGCATGAGAATGCCAGATAAGGGGCCATCCATAAATGACGTCACACGCCTAGAGGGGGTGGTCAGATTTTTGTGACGATGTGTGACGAGGGGGAGGGGGGGACCTCAAGCAATGTACGACTTTAACGTGTCTTTATATCCTATCGGTGAATATATAACTTCAACGGCCGAGCAAAAGTCAATTTGCCCAAGGCCCCACACCATCCTAGCGCCGGCCCTGAGTACAGATATGTGCAGTCCGAAGAATGGCCTCTAATTAAGTTACAGGACGCCAAGGAGGAGGGGAATCGGAGTGTATTTACAATGACAGTCGTGATTATTTATGGCTATATGTGGACGCGGGAAAAGGGATGGAGCGGGAAAAAAAGGTTGACCGCGGGGTGGGGGTTATCTTAGTAATTAATGCTCTAGGGCAGGGATTCTTAACCCTTTTTGCAGCGTTGCAGGCCCACTTCGTTTTAAACATCCCTCCCCAACCGTATAAATTATATTGTACGGTAATAAAATTTAAAATAATTAAATAATTTAGCTATCGTAGTTTCATTTCTTTAATTAACTTTTTATAAACGGGAAAGAATTACCAATACACGCAATGCGCCAATGAAATTCAGCATTGACTGCTGTCAATCAAAATCCATACAAACTTGCTTTTTTTTTTTTTTTTTTTTTTTTTTTTTATTTTTTTAAAGCAGCAACAACTAGCAATGGCATCAAATACAATCAGTGGTGTAGCTAGGGTTGGTGTCACCTGGTCCGGTAAGCTCGTGATTTCACCCACCCACCCCCCTTTTCACGATGTATTTCTTCTTGTTAAACGTAGTCCACAGTATAAGAAATACAAGAACAAAAACAAATTAAATTAAGCTAAGGTGGTAAATGTATTTCAGAACTGTAACTTGTACTTATAATATCCAATGGTTATCAAAGGATAGTTGTATTTCTTAGAATTTAGATAAAAATAGCTTCCTGAAACTTATACAAAAGTTACCAAACACTTCATTCGGCGTTGAAACATGGTCAAAACGGTGTGTTTCTGACCTAATAATATGATAATCTAATTGCCATGGCATCAGCCTTGAAATTTTAATATTAACGAAACACGCATTTTGATTGGTTAAATGTACGTGTCATCTGTTAACCTTTTATGAATTTCGGTTAGACCGAATAGTGTGTGCTCTGTAATTACGTTATTTTTCAATTTGGTGTCACCCCCCGAGATGGTTTTGACCAGTGCAGTCCGCACCCCCCTAGCTACGCCACTGAATACAAATTTTTGGTCTTCCACACCACAAGGCTTGCGAGGTACTTGTACCCCTGGTTAAGAACCACTGATGTAGTGAAATGTTTCTGTCACGGGTGTAGTAATTTGATATTTATTTATTTATTTATTTAGGTATTTTTATATAGCGCTTACCATAAAGCTCTAAGCGCTTTACAATTATTAAAAACATGTAAACTAAGTAAAATAAAAATGAGACACTAGGAGGCAAATTTCTTAAGGGTTTGTAAAGGACAGTAGTGGACACAAGGACTTTTTATAGGGGGGAGGGGGTGCAGAGATTTGTGACGTTTTATTTGAGGGGGGTCTAACATTTTGTGACGATGGGGGGAGGGGGGGTTAAAAATCAGAAAAATTTTCGTGACGTCATTTATGGATGGCCCCTAATACACTCACGTCATATTAATTAAAATGGCATATGTTATTGTAGTAGTGATAAGAAAGTACAAAATAACACAAATACCCGTATTTAAATTAAGCTTTTAACTTTTTAAAATCCTTCATTATTAACTTCGCTTTTGTTAATGTGTCTGGCTGGGTGGCAAAATCTTCGGATGGCTAATTGACCCACTTCCTGTCAACCTATGGAGATGAAACTTGGCACATAGCCTTGTTGCTGATGACAATGTATTCTATCAAATTTTTAGCCCCAACCTCCAAAGTCAGTTTTTCAAGGGGAAGATGAAGGAAATATGATGTCATTGAATTCACGAAATAAAATTCCCAATAACTGAGCTAAATTCTTAAAAATATCTTAAGTGCGTTTGGTGCATAAAATTTTCTTTTGTTTTTCTGAAATAGTGAAAAAAATCTGTGGTGCAAAAGCGGGTGGGAAATTAGAATACGGTTATTAATATAATAGGATTTATACGAAAAACTTTGTTTTTAGGGATTGTTTATAATTACATTTAAAATACGTCCTTCTCCAAAAAAATGGTGGTGATTACAAATATTAATTTAAGTTATTCTGTTGGCATTCTTAAGAATGGGTGAAATGCAATTTACTAACAACATTAATTTGTAAATACTGAAACAAATTAAATACTCAATAGGGTTTGACAAATGCTAATCTTTTAAATCTATTTTTGACTATTATTCCCAAAGTCACTTACAACTTTGTCATCTGTAACTTTAACACTTAGTTTACCATCACAATGTCTATACTTGGTAACAAATCGACACTGAAAATATAAGAAAATCATCATTTATTAATCTTATATATTTTGTAACTTTCTAAATCATTATCAATTTGTGCCAATGGCTTTTGCAACCTCCTATGGCCTTTAAAATTTGAATCTTGAAAAAAATGTCAGTAAGCTAAGGTTCATTCAGTCCTCATGTGCAGAATAGTGCATAAGGCTCTGGCCAAGGAATGCTCAACTTTAGTCTATTGGATGCTTCTGTAGGAGCCGTGTGCTAGGTCGTGTTTCTATTTCTTTCTCTAATTTACTGCACAAGATCTTTTGCGTCTTTCTCATTTTTTTCTCCCTGAGCTCTACACATTAAGAGTTGTTCTGGGAAGTAAATGAGCTTAAAAAAAAGACAAAAAACTAAATTTAACAGGGAGGCATCTGAACAATTTCTGCAATGGCTGTCAGTTACAATTTGCATCTCACATCATTATTGGAGATTGTCTTTTGGCTAGAAGATTCTATTAGGCCTTTAGTCGGAGAGACTTCCTGCTTTTTATTAAGATATGCAAATGGCAAAGGGTCTTCCTGCACTTTAATTTTCTAGACATTATTATAATATTCTGATATTAGTATTGATATACCTTTAATGCTCAGGTTGCTCAATTTCTAATAGGATGTTAGCAATAATAACATTTCAAATGCCTCATTTGCCTTGCTGATTCTTGTATTGATTTATTAGTCCCAATAACCTGTTTTTTGTCTTGATCCTGAGGTACTAGTACAAGTACTTAAAATCACATCTTCTAGTTGGGATTACTCTTACTACTGTAGTAATAGATCACAATGATGTCACATTCTGGTTTTAATTTTAAGTGTTTGTGTATTCTTGGCCCTGAATTTACCTTTAAAGTGGCTTTTCCTAAGACAAGTCACCTAAGACTAAGCTAAGTTACTAAAAATAGCTAGAACTAGCAGTTTTACTGGGGTACAAACAGTGAAACAGTACAGTACAGTCACTGGACTACTACTACTAGAGACTAGAGCCTCCTACCCACCCCCACCTAACATAAAATTAAAAGTAAGACAAAGTAGCAGTGATGTGTCAGTTGAGCAGCTTAGGCAGCTAGCTTTGACCCTTCTATTGCTGCCCACAGATACTACTTACCAGCTAAGTGCTATTTCTTATTTTTATACCGTTTTTTCTGTTGTTTTGTTCGCTGATGAAGGCTTTCTGCCGACACTTTCGCTGTTTTGTTGCGTCTATTTTTTCAGGTTTAACCCTACTCTGTTTTACTCATTTTATTTAGGCAGCTAGCTGTAGTATTATTAGGCAAATAATATATTTAATATTAATAATTATAGTTATAGCCTACCTAATTTAATCTAGTTAGGCCTTATACTTATATACTAAAATATAATATTTCTATCAGTCTATATTATATATTGTAGTCAGTAAATTATTGTGGATGAGTTCACTATGACTTGGACTTGATGAGTCTTAGCCTTAGAGACTTAGAGTGAGTCAAATTAAATAATAATATTAATAAACTTCCTAATTATAATTAAATACGTTTTGATTTACTTTCAATGAATCTGCGAGATATAACCGTTCAGCCGCTTTTGCAAATTCTTCCCATGACGTAAAATACGTCATTTTACTTGTCCCTGAGAAACTATTTCTTTCAATATGGACCAGTAGTTCTTTTATAATAAAAAGTACACTTGGTACACAAACGAAATTACAACCGGAATTTGTGCCATGAACCTATTTCCGTTTAGTTAAGTCCGAGGAAAATGTTATAATTTTGTAAAAAAATCTATATATGTCAAAACTTATGCAAAAATATGCATATTGATTGTAAAATGGTAAAATATTATCAAATATATATTTTACATACTTAAATTTCATTATTTATCATATTTTTGTTTTCAATTTAAACATGCAGTGAATTAATGCCCACTATGGCGTCAATGTAGGAAGTGAGCTATCTTCCTGTACTGATTCATCTGATCAGTTTTTCTTATCCTGAGATATAGAGACCGATAGTTAGTAATTATTAATTGATTGGGAAATGTATGCAATGCGTTGTTCAAATAAAGTTTCAAGGGGAATAATTGCTGCTAGTAATTTAAATTAATGATATTATTGTATAATATATAGTTATAGCCTATGCCTATAGCCTACTGAGTTTCATCAGAAAAAAATATTTCAAATTTTGTGAAATTGTGGTGTCAATGTTTTAAAAAAATAAAGTGTCTGCCACTGCTACTAATCTAAGTTATATGGCAAGACAAAGTAGTAATACTGACGGATCTGTTTAATTTACCAGAATTTTACATCTCACGCCAAAGCTCTGAGTACAGCAGTACCATCACTAATAATTTAATAATAAATCTAAATTAACTACACTTGGCTATTCACCAGCACTTAACTTTCAGTTACTACTCTAATAAAAATACACACAGATGGGTGAATAGTCTTAGGATGTTTTTGGCTTCCACACACAGACACAGCAATTTTTATTAGCAGACTCAGTATTAAGCCTAGTGTTAACATATTTTTTTTTATATTCAAAGTTAGAAAATTTTTAATCATTATCATTAATCCATTGCAGTGATTTAGTGAAAACAATAATTATCTAGGGTAATTGAGTAGAACTTTTAGATGGCCTAATAAATTCTTTGGTTTTTTACATTTTAATCATAATACTAATAGAGCCCTGTTGACGTGACTGTTGACCACCATTGAAAATATTATAACATCTTAATTATGAAGTGGTTCCCAAATAATTTTCCACAGGAATACACTTTCAGAATAAAAATTTTTTTTGCCCATTTCTATAATTGAAAAAAAAAAGAAGATAAATACCTTTAAAATAATGCTAAGTAATGTTTGGATTTATTAAATAAAAGCTCCTGCTTTAGTTAGGACATCAAGAATTATTAGACTATAGAGCTTCATTAATTCTTAAAATCAGCTATACTACTGTCAGCTGAAAGTAATTTTTAAAAAAAAATCTAGCATTGGTATGTGCAAGTGTATCCTCACAGATCTCAGACTGACTTGAATCTCTCAATAAAAGATGACCCTGCAATTGAAAATTAAGCAGTTGAATTATTTCTCTTCCCAAAGTTAATGTGAACACAACTAATTTAAGCAGATAACTTTTTTAACAGTTATTTTCTCAATTACTTTTTAAAAAAAATAAATTTTGAGGATCCTGAGATAAAAGAAATTGTATGATAATACATCTTTAAATTGTCCAGGAATATTTTATTTCAAGAACAGTTGTACTTTTTGAAATCAACTCCCTATGGAATGCAAAAACTTGTGCATCAGTAGAGCTGAATAATATAGACTATGATTGTATTGTCTGAGATTCAGTGAAGCCCTTAAAATGCATCACTGATTAAAGATAATTCTTCAGCCTTCATTGTAAAAGAAGTTTAAAAATTATCATCTAAAAAAAAAAAAATAAGTGGATTATATATCAGGAAAATATCCAAGAAAAAGATTGGAAATAACTTACATTTACAGCAATGACAAGGTAAGTTTTAGATATCTTAATTTTTTTAAATTTTAACTTATCAGCACTAATTAGATAATAAAAATCATGCTATAACACTTCTGCTGGAATATGATATATGAAAAACCTTTTCAGATGCCACTTCAGGTTGTATTACTCACTTGCCTTTATAGCTGTGCAGTAGTTTAATCATTTAAGGATGGTCTGGCTTGAGTGACAGCCAGAAATGGTGAAGATAATAAGCTAAAAAAAATAACTTACCAGACTTATCAATAAAGCTTTTGTCAAGCAAGCCCACTAAACAACAATTGGAGGACAGAAAATGTTTATTTATATTAAAGACCTGTTATAATTAACTGGATTGTTTATTTTCATGGTTACAGCCAGCACATAAGCAATCTGAGGTTACTTGATACATTTTGTAGAATTCAATTCTTAATGCAATTTTAAGATAGCAATTTATTTATATGTCGTCTTGAAGAATGAGTACAAACACACACTTTCAAATACATCAGCTACAAATGTGAGCAGTGCTACTACAAGTTTGCTTCCTCATGATTTCACTCTATACAAACATAACTATTTGTAGAAAGAGTAGTTCTGGTTGAGTTCTTCTGGCACACGATTTTTAGTTCATCTGCCATTCCATTTTAGTTAAGCCTATAGCCTCCCAACCCTTACTTTGGTCCCACACTCATGACTACCTTAAAGTTTATAAGGTAATTATAATTTTACTTACTTTCATTTTTAACTGTTTGTTTTGTTTTTGTTTTCAAGTAATTCACCTGAGGTATATGCTGTTTAAATGTAATTCTGGTTACAGACAGTTACAGTTAAGGATTTTATTTCTGTCTATTTTTTTTTATTATATTGTTATATTGAAAAATATATTGTAATGGATGAGCCTAATTTATAGCATTTATTGAGGTCCACTGTCACTGTGTCAAATTATTATTATTATTTTTACATGTATGAATTGATAATTTTGATTGGGGCTAGTAAGTGTTAATTTCCTAAAATAAAAATTAATCTCTTTAATATTCATTACATTAACAATTGTTTACAGTAGATCTCATTTTACAAGTCCATACTATACTCATAGTTCAATGGCATCTGCCTCTAATGCTAAACATAACCTTTCTCCCTTTTCTTTTAAAATTCAATTTCTCGGCTAATTGACTTAAGGAGTATTTTTAAATTTATTTGGGGGAAGTACTGAATGGTGACTACAAATACAGTCAGTGTTGGGAAGGGGGGGGGGGGCTTTTTTCTGCGAACTGCCCCTGGCCTTCATCTGCTCGTTCCATCCAACACATTCCCAGCCCCTTCACGTTTACATCACGACTCTGTACTTACGACGTACATCTCAGGGGTTTCGCCGTGACCCCNCCCCAAAAAAAAACAAAAAAAGAAACAAAAAAAAAAACACACACCCATGCTGTATGCCCTGTGCTCTTTGGAGTGGGTTGTCAGTGAACTGCTCAGGGCTCGTGGCATTGGAGCATATAACACGGAGAGAGAAGGGGTACACATAATATGATTATAAACATCACGCTCTTGTTTTCGCGCAAAGATTTTCCTCCCATTACCTCCCGTTTCCCTTTAAAATTAACACAAGCTCTGATCGCGTGAGGTGGTTTTAAAAAAAATATATAGATATCCATTTTTCTTGCGACTTGACTTAGTTTGTGCGTAATTCGTACATAATTTACATTAGCAGCAACCCCTATCCTTACATTTGAAACGTGCAATTTAAGGATAAGGTTGCCGTGAGATATCCCTAATGGTAGCTGACAGCCATAGAGCTATAATGTTAAACCTTACAGCATACCGTCTGTCCTTATGATAGTTTGATGGGTTAACTCACTGAGCGTAGTCAGTGCAATACAATCGCGATGAATTATACGGGACAGTTACTTATTTACTGAAGCGAGCATTACAAGTAATTTATGTACTTTGCCCCCCCCCCCCCAAACCCAACCCACTTTCTACACCCTTTAAACCGTTTGGACTTTAACGCCGTCTCGAAAATTACTTGTGTGATTCATGCTCCTTTTTTTTTTTTTTGGTTGACGTGGACTGCGATGCCATGGCAGCAGGATAGCTACTGATGCTGAGAAAGTTTGGTGTCATACTGAACACGAAATCTTCAAAATTGTTTTAATTCCAGGAGATCTTTTGTTGCTGCTTTTAGTGTAGTTTGTATTTTCTTCAGATTTTTGTAATCCCGTTTTTACTACGGCCTTGTTCTTGGAGACGACTCACGATTTTTTTTATTGGGGGGGGGGGGGTGTCGGTCGAGCATCTCATTTTTTCTAGAATTTAAATTGTGTCCGAAATATAACAGGAAAAAAACCATCAACCTTACTTATCACACCGCTATTAGCTACTGAATTGGATTTCGTTAGATCGTGATCGGTGGACACATTTTTATGATGAAACAAAAAAGTTAACATAGATTTTTAAGTTTGTTTGTTTGTTTTTTGTTTCTTGATGTCTACAACGAATGCAACATCCAGCATTATTTGATCAAATAAAAGTACGCGTTAGCATGGCTATTTTGTTGCCACTAAGATGAGATGCTTTATATTGATACAAGGGTCATACAGGTGAATCATTTGATGAAATGTGAAGATAGAAACGTTCTGTTTTTCAATGTCCAGAATGTACGACACTGTACACATTGTCCGCGAATGTGTTTATTCCCTTTCAATGTCCAGAATGTACGACACTGTACACATTGTCCGCGAATGTGTTTATTCCCCTTTCAATGTCCAGAATGTACGACACTGTACACATTGTCCGCGAATGTGTTTATTCCCTTTCAATGTCCAGAATGTACGACACTGTACACATTGTCCGCGAATGTGTTTATTCCCTTTCAATGTCCAGAATGTACGACACTGTACACATTGTCCGCGAATGTGTTTATTCCCGCAGTAACGTTGTTGTCAGCTTTTTTTTTTTTTTAAAGAGTTTTTAAACAGTGATATTTATGAATATGTTTTAACCGATGAGTTCTGGTCACTTCTCCGTGCAACAGTTTACCGACAGGAGTCCGACTCCTAGAACACTTATTTGTTGGGCTACTGTGCCTTCACGCTGTAACAACACATTATCTTGAGACTTCCATCGTCACCGATGTGTTAGCCACTAAGCAAGCGCCCGGGCTCAGACTGTACAGTTTAGAACGAGAATCCTGCAGCATTAGGTGTTAGCTTTGTCCCGCGGACTTCCTGTTTTGTTATTTTCGTTCAGGAGATGAACATTCTGTAAGATTCGGTTTTGGCTACAGTCATGAAACTGTAATACATGGTTTGACTTAAAGGTTCTGTATTTTCCGGGGCTTGGTTGCAACAGTCAAGTGCGACTTTTTTTAAAGGACTTAAGAATCACACTCCGCGATGACCACGTTTCCTGACAATAGTGGCTTAGGCCCGCAGGATTTCGATCATTTGGAGTGTCACTATTCTCAAGTGGACTATTCATCTTACACTAACTGGAGGCAGGCAGCAGCGGCCAGCTGTGACAGCGTCGCACTCTTTGACGTCAATGAATATCACATTGAAAATTATGGACCTAATGTTTTCGGGTATGGCTGTTGTGCTCTTATTAGTTTCATCATGTTTACAAAACGTCTAATTACAGGTTGTTGATAGTACCTCAATGTCTGCTACCAGCAATTTTTTTTTAAATAGTATTTTTTGCTTTAGAAGTAATACAAAATATAATTTTAATTATTACGTTTTAAAGAAAATAATCAACGTAGGACCTAATGGTAATATAGTTTTGCTGTAATATGCCGTTTCCCCGTACTTCGCCCCCCCCCCCCCCAAACCAATCCCCCACCCCATAAAGGTTGATCCCATGCTGGCACCATGACTCGCCCATCGGTCATACCGACCCATGTTAAAGTGATCAATATTTTGGATGATATTACTGCATGGGAGATTTGATGCCGGCTGCTATTTGTAATACTATTGTGTACTGTACTCGGCTAATCCAGACGTTCGATGTATCCTTTTAATGCGAGAAGTGTGTGCAGACACTTTTAATCCTGTTGATAAATTATATCTCTGATGCTGATTGGCCACTCGATCACGTGACATTCCAATTGTATCCATTTGACGTTATTCCTGCCTCACCCCCACCCCCCTTTCCAATGTTTCGTGACGTGCACAGTTGATTTAATTCCGATGTAGCTCTGACCACTGCAATTTGATGCACCACTATTATTGTCTAGAAAAGCTCATTGATGTTTCCCTTATTTTAACCGCATTTATTCTCGACAATGAGCATGAGCTTTGTCTGTTTGATTCAACCATTCTTATGTGGGTCGTTTTTTTTATCAAGCTTTCGCATTACTTTATCATCTTGAAGAAATTTGTCATGGTCGATTTTACAAATTTTGACACAGAACAGACTCGTAAAGTTATCCGAAAATCAAATTTTCAGAGGATCTACGCCAAACGAAGTGAATTGTTTTTTAGGTCTCCCCATCAGTCGTATAATAAGGGTGACAACAAAATTGTAACAAATAATAATCCAGTATGCATTCGCTGTAATTAAACAATTTTTCCTTTCTTTTTTTTTCATCACCACAAGATCGTGCGTTTGAATGATACATTTTATTATTTTGTGTCTGGGTTAAAAAAACAAAAAACAACAACCTTCCAACTTTTTTTTTTTAGTTCAAACTACTCTGGGGTAGCACTTGAACTACACCTTTATTGAACTCTATCCAATATCACGATAACTGGGGTAGCATTTGAACTGCAGCTTGATTGAACTACATCCAGTATCGCGATACCTGGCGTAGTACTCGAACTACCGCTTGTTTGAACTATATCCAATATCACGATACCGGACGGTAATGCTTGAACTGCAGCTTGATTGAACTATATCCAATAGCTCGATACCTGATCAATAAAGTCGTCTTGTACGTGACGCGAGTGAGTACACGCTTTAAAAAAAAAACCACGCATTTGTTTGCCCGCTTTGTCTGAAAGCCACACGTCCTTGATGTCAAGGGGAATCGATGAGCGATGATTAATTCTCGTTTCCTGTAGTAGTCATCGGATTAATACAAATGGACAGGGGTTCCGAACCTCTCGTTCTGGTTTAAAGGCATTATTTTAATTGTTTAAAAAATAGCACGCATTTATCCTCTGGTTTTCTCATTCATTATGGCTATATACTCTATTAGGGAAAATTAAGATTGTAACCCAATAGCACACGTTTTTAGTTGTTTTTTGTTTTTTACAAAAAGTATTACTTTTGGTAATTCTGTTTGGCGTGAATCTTTGGATAAAGTTAGTGCCAAAGTAAACACGAGCTTAGACTTACTGGAACCATACAGTTTGTTGCCCGTGTGTCTTGTTACCTTTTCGGCTATTGGCCATTATGTACGGGTAACTCTTTCCAACTTCACTCATGCACGGCTCGCCACAAAGTGTTTTATTATAGTGGGATGAAACGAAACCGCTGATTGAAAATTCATCATGTCTTCGTTCTTAGATCTCTTACTTGACGTACTTAAGACTTCCGATGGTTTGCTGTTATTCGATTAAGATTTCACCATTACACCCCATTGTCTGGTGTCTGGAAACCGCAGCTGTTATGGGCAAGCTGTGGATCGTTGGCTCGTGTTAATGTGATGATGATTAACCAACGTTTGAAAGAATAACGATGGGTGTGGACAGCAGAGAAGCCGAACCTTTTAAAAGGACCTTAAGTGCGGGCTCTGCTCCCCCATATTTGGAGCCTACACAAAGTGGAGCGGTAGCTCTACTTTTGTATATGTATTTTTATGTGCAGCGCAATGTAGATCTGTCTGTAAGACCAGTCATTCCATTCACGCCACGTAAGCCATCGTATTTTTAAACGTTACCCAGTATTGAAAGGTGGGGTGAAAAGAAGAGGGGCGGGGGTGGAGGCTATATCGGTTGGCAATGCCGCCGCAGTATTTACTTTAGGGCCTGCACCGATATGACTTATCTTATCTATAACTCTTGAAATATATAACCAGCTGACTTTCTTTGAAGTCGTGCTTCGCCTCAAGTCACTCACCCAAGATGGCATGTTTTGGAAAGAAATGCACTTCAACGTTAACTGCCCGCTTGTTTTGTTTTTTTTTTGTTTTTGCACCGCTGACCCTAGAGTAACCCATTTAGCCAGTGATTCCATTAGGTTCGCATCTTTATTTAGTACTTAAACCTTTCTGACTCTTTAAAGACAAGAAATTTAAACTCACTCGGTTGCGTAGGAAAATGGGGGGGATTGGGGGGGGGGGTTGATTGGATGTGGCAGTCTGTCCCGGGCGGCACTTTTTTTTCTTATTTTGAGGCGTGGCATTTTCGGCCACTTGCATCATGGGTTTTTTTCTTGGAAGGGGGCGACAAAAAGCTTGTCAAGGTGGCACTAACCCTGGCTACGCCACCAAGCAGATGTTAATTCAATCTACACATATTTAATTCAATATAAAACTGACTTGTAGAGTGAAGAGTAACGTGAACGATTCTAGTGAGTCCCACCACCGATTGTTGAGGACAGCATACCTTGTTGGCATATTATACACTGACAGAAATAGCCTGACCTAATGACGCCGCCGTGTATAACGACTGCTGGAGAGTTAATCCAGAGTGGGCCAAGACATGTTTACTGCACTTGACTGGTGAGTTTTTAGCTCTTTATCACGCACAATAGATTATCAGTGTTGGGGCTTTGTCATCTCAACTGTATCTTTGGAATATACACTTTTTTTTTACAGGATCTAGTTTAGCAAGAACAAATTGGCCCAATGATGTCCTCACGTCTTTTGTTAATCGAACCCTTCTGTTAATCGAATCCTGCTGTTAATCGAATCCTTCTGTTAATCGAATCGTTAGTCCGCTTGAAAACATCTAATTTCACTTTGAAGTGTCTAGCAGTAGCGTCACCAATAGGGGGGACGGGACTGTGGACCGTACCGGGTGACACCAATCATATTGGCGACAGGTATAGGTCAAGGCGTGCGCTGTCCAAGTACGTCATTACATGGATTGCTCCGATTTTATTTTTGTTTTCTTCACTTGGGATTTGAAGATTTAATAATTTAAAGGCCCATTGAGACTAAGCTGTGAACCAAATTTCAGCTCTACAGCATTCCGCGATCTATGGATATAAACAGTCTGGAAGGTGTGTACAAACCAAAAGACAGGAACTAAAATCATTCGTCAACTTGGCTTGTGCTGGGATGGATATGGAGCCCCCGAGTATCAAGATGACTGGGAAGACAACGCACCCCACCCCCCCCAACACAAAAAAAAAAAAAAAAAAAAAAAAAAAAAAAAAAAAAAAAAAAAAAAAAAACAAAAAAAACCCAAAACAAAAAAAAAATTAAAAAAAAAATAAATAAAAAATAAGCTGACATGTAGACTTAGAAAATTATGTACTTGATATCTGGAAGAATTGGAAAGAGAGGAGACAGCAATAGACCGGAAGGCGTGGATATATTTTAATTGCCCATGATCTTATGGGAGTTGGAAAAAAAGGGGAATAAGAAGTAGCAAATCGTCCATGTGGGTTAGTTAATTGAAAGTGAACAATTGGCCATGGTTTACTGGGGTAAACCAAAGATTACTGTCGATGTTATCATTTGAAAATATACGTAGTTTACCTTTAGTTGGTAGAACGCAGTGAGTACACCTACTAGTCAAACCAACGACACGTTGGTCGCTATAACAACAGTTGATCATCTCGCAAGGTATTGAACGTTTTAAATGAAATACAAATAATTAACTCTCCCATTCTCTTGATCTAAATTCATAAGCTTTAAAAAAAAAAAATATTGAAAGAAACAAACAGACAACAAGGTTTTCCCCCCGTCCACACAGGTTAGGGGAGTCGCATCTTTAACGAGGAGCGTATTTCTTTTAATGAGCGTGGCTTGACAGGATTACCTTTCTGGAATGCGGGTTCACTGGAACCCCCTTCCTCACCAACATCCCCTCTCTCTCTCTCTCTCTCTCTCTCTGCTCATCTGCTTTGTTCTCGCAGACATCCAAGTGTAACACGCATCATGCGTTGTGAGCAGATGTACCGGGCCATTGTAGCTAGGTAGGAAATTCCCAGATATCTTTGAACTAAAAGTATGAGCACGCAAAGCTGACAGTTATTGGGGTGGGGTGGACGTCAGACGTTTTTTTTTTTTCTCTCCCTCCTATTGAATGAGATGGCTTTATTATGAAAAAAGCCAGTATTCTTCGCCATTTTTACAAGGAAAAGGGAAATGGACATTTTGCCTCAGATAAATGGCACCTTTCATTGATTGTCGCCCCCAACCCCAAGTACATCCGTAGAGAGAACCTGTAGGTGTGCTATGTCCGAGGTATTGTAAGAATTGTACTATGATTACTGTTGGTCGTTCGCATGTGAAGGTGACCAGGGCGACGAGACCGTGAGCAGTAGAAGCCTTGACTTGCGGGGTTAACGCTTCATGGTTGGACACCGCACAGCCAACCTGCCTTAACTTGGTTTGAAGTGCGCGTTAAAAACCAAACGTGAATAGATTTACGCTGCGTGGAATCAAAATGATGAGAAATACAAGTCCTAAATAGACATGGCATGTACAACTTGACATATTGCAATAGCTTCATGTACAAATTGGCATATTGCAATAACTTCATGTACAAATTGGCATATTGGGATAACTTCATGTACAACTTGGCATATTGCAATAACTTCATGCACAAATTGGCATATTGCAATAACTTCATGTACAAATTGGCAAATTGGGATAACTTCATGTACAACTTGGCATATTGCAATAACTTCATGCACAAATTGGCATATTGCAATAACTTCATGTAGAAATTGGCATATTGGGATAACTTCATTTACATATTGGCATATTGCAATAACTTCATGTACAACTTTGCATATTGCAATAACTTCATGTACAAATTGGCATATTGGGATAACTTCATTTACATATTGGCATATTGCACTAACTTCATGTACAAATTGGCCGTCTCGGATCTTCTTAAAAAACAACTCAAAACAAATTTTTTCCTTTACAAATGAAATTTTTGTAAAATGTTGTTTGTTGTCCCTTCGTTTTGTAGATCGTGTTGAGGGTTTATTCTGTTACAACAAGGGAATGGAGTGGAAGACACAACACACACTTTGTCTGTTGTTGAGAATGGCTAATAGGAGGGCATTCGACATTGATGCATACGAGACTTGGACTTGAAGCACAGATTTTCTAACTTTCTTTCCTTTTGCAGGCTTGGTTTGTGTTGCACTTTGAATCATCCGGCATCCGTGTCAATAAATCTTGTACGATCTACGTCCGTCTGTTGACACGGGTGCTTACTATAGTTAAACTAAGCGTATGTTATATCATGGCTGACCGGTTGGGCCCCGTCAAGTTTTAAGCCACAAAGCAACACTGACCCAGGCCTAACGAAGGTGATTTGGGGGGGGGGGCACTTGTTGCGTTTGGAGATGGGGGAGGGGGGTGAGATCAAAGAGGAAGTAAAAACCTTGCCAACGGGCGCTGTAACAACTGTCAGCTCTTGAGTTACTCTGTCGTTGGAATTGTGTCGATACCGGTTCTGAGCTGGTTTGGAGCATCAGCTGGTCGTGCTGTTGCTCTCATTTCGCTCGGACGATTTTCTTGGCCTCTTGACTTCAGCAGGGATAGCTTTCATGTACTCGGCGGTCTTGTGGTGATTAACAAATGAGGTACGTGAGGGAACTGTCACGTGATATCAATAAAAGAATCGTGCGGTCTCTTAAAAAAAAACCAAAAAAAAAACAAAAAAAAACAAAACAACTATATTGCAAAAGGAAAAATCAAAATGAATTAATTTTAAATTTGTGTTGTTTCATGTTTGCTTTTGTTTTTGCCACGAGTATAAATAACTCTGTTGACGTTAACATCTTAATATGTTAAATTTAGAACGTCTCGGGTAAAAATAACTAAGACTTGTACTACAAGTAAAAGCACAGCTCAATACTAGTTTTAATACCCATACTGCTAGTTGCATGACGTTTTTTGTGTGTCTAAACGGAGAGGAAGGGGGTTAAGGGGGGGGGGGGGCTTATGTGTCGTGGCGTTTTTTGCTTCGCCCATAAACCTCCATTCTTAATCTAGACTCACAGTACCATCATTTTGTCATGTATCACGTGTCTGAGTATTGACTCTGGATTTAACTTGTGCCAACTCTACCTGCGTCCCATATATCAAAGGAAAGTAATTGATCAACGCATTTCGACTTGGTCCCATTTTAGGATCTTTCACACGCTCCCTTGAAAGTGACGTGTGTACCATAGTCAGATAAACAAATATGACGTCACTCAGCAAAGTAATAATCCAATCTTAATGAGACACGCTGTGTGTAATGAATTCTCTCCCCCCCTCTCCCCCCCCCCCCCAACTGTGTCGCGTCCCTGTTTATTTTCCATCCTTGTTGAACATGTAGATACATTTTTAACTTTAAAATAATGAATTCTCTCCCCCCCCCTCCCCCCCCCCCCCAACTGTGTCGCGTCCCTGTTTATTTTCCATCCTTGTTGAACATGTAGATACATTTTTAACTTTAAAAACATAAAGCTCACTGCAGAGCTCTGCCTACGACTACGTCATTAGTTTACGTCATGATAGATTGCATCTAAGCCACTTCCTGCAAGTCTGCTTTTTTAAACAACTATCCCAGCGTGTCATGTTGATAGGTTTCATTGGTAAAGCAGACAAAGCGATTGATGTCAAATTTGGCATGATGAATCTCTCATTGATATTTCAACAATAGTACCGGTAATTAGTATTGTGGACTACAACGTTTCTATAAGGAAGGTTTAGCAATATTAAGAAGGAGCAACTTAATGTAGCTTAAACTCAAAGCACTCTTTACAGACCAGTAGGCAATGGAATGTCCAGGTTAGGAGCGTGGGTCATAAAAATATATTGAACAAACTTATCCCAGGCTAGACAAACACACACACACTCAAGGGTGGGTATTGAACAACCTTGTCAGAACACACTTTTTATTACTGTATGCCGGTAGCTAAACATTGGATGTCAGGACTGCTGACATGGCTACACTTTTTATTACTGCATGCAGGTATCTAAACATTGGATGTCAGGAATGCTGACATGGCTACACTTTTTATTGCTGCATGCATGCAGCTAAACATTTGGATGTCAGGACTGCTGACATGGCTACACTTTTTATTGCTGCATGCAGGTAGCTAAACATTGGATGTCAGGATTGCTGACATGGCTACACTTTTTATTACTGCATGCATGTAGCTAAACATTGGATGTCAGGACTGCTGACATGGCTACACTTTTTATTGCTGCATGCAGGTAGCTAAACATTGGATGTCAGGACTGCTGACATGGCTACACTTTTTATTGCTGCATGCAGGTAGCTAAACATTGGATGTCAGGATTGCTGACATGGCTACACTTTTTATTACTGCATGCAGGTAGCTAAACATTGGATGTCAGGATTGCTGGCATGACTGCACTTTTTTTTAATGCATGTAGGTAGCTAAACATTGGATGTCAGGACTGCTGACCATGGCTGGGCTTTTTCCATTGTAATGTGGGTCGCTTGATTGGCTCTGAACTTGATTCACTAGTGTTAATAGAAACTCTAACTGTATACCACTTGTGTATAACAAGAAAATAAAAAAACAAAAACAAGACAGAATTCTTGTTCACCAGAATGATCATTTTGAGTCATAGTTGTTTTTGTCAATTTCATTTTTTTTCTGTTATTTAAACTTACAGTCAGGGCTAACACCTGCTAGTAAAGGGGAACTTCTATATTAGTCATCACTGTCATTCATATCTTAAGGATCCTTGTTCTTTCATTTCTGAACCAGCACAATAATATAGTATAATTAAACTAACAGCAAAGAAAAAACCAGATTGAATTGATTTGATAAAATATAGTTTGATTTAAATTGTAGAAAAATATGAACTTAAATCAAGGGAGGTGGGGGGTGGGGAATTTTTTTTTTTTTTATGTCATACTTAACTGGCTCATAATTTGATTCGGAGCATTTCAATGAGTTTGAGTGGATGATCAGAGCCATGTGGAATAGACATCATTTAATTTCAGTTTTAACATTATATATATTTATTTAATGAAAGCCTTACTTGGATTGATTATTGAGTCTATTATGAATTTTGTTTATAAGTTTAACTTAAAATAATCTGTTCCATTTGTGCACACAAAGTAGCCATCTGGAGGAGAGGAATATGCTGCTTTTATTTGTTCCGAACCTTGTTTTTTATTTGATGGTCCAATAACTCTGTCCTCAGTGAGGTACCCATCATCTCAGCGCGGGCGTCTGTGATGATCTACGATGATGTCTCCAAGAAATGGGTTCCAAGTGGGGTCACCCAAGGTCTTTCTAAAGTCCAGATCTACCATCACACTGCAAACAATACTTTCAGAGTAGTTGGCAGAAAACTCCAAGATCATGAGGTGAAACATATTTAAGTAATGTTTTGGTTTTTTTTTGGTTTTTTTAAAATTATGTTAACTTTACTTCCATATTAGTCTTTTAATTTCCTTATAAAGCCAAAGTGGTGATTTGCTTTTTAATAAATTCTAAAATTCAATTAATAATTTTTTTTTCCCAAAGGTCGTGATCAATTGCGCGATAATGAAGGGACTCAAATATAACCAAGCCACACCAACATTCCATCAATGGAGAGACAGTCGGCAAGTCTATGGGCTGAACTTTGCATCTCGAGAAGATGCAGAAAATTTCTCACAAGCTATGTTGGCTGCACTAGAAACACTTAACAGTAAGTTCTGTTGAAAAGTCAATAAGTGAACCAAGTATTTAAAATTTTTTTGCAATTTTTAAATCTATGAGGAAGTTTACTTTTTTGGAAACTTAGTACAGCATAAGTGAGAATTTAACCCCCGAAAAAAAAATCTTTCACAAACAGCTCTATATCGCCAAGCCCCACCAGTGGCTCCTCCTCCACAACCATCGGGTAACATCTATGCCCAGGCTATAAACTCTGTAAACGGACCCCCTGAGCCAGATGAAAGGTAAGTTTCAATTATTTATTTATATTTCTTTTTTGTTTTGTCATCATAGATTTTTTATTTAGTACTCTCATTAATCAGAGTGATTGAACTAAATTTGACCATTCCAATGAAGGGTATTTTGAAATGTGACAATGACTGTTATTAGTGCATTAAATTATAGCACAGTTTGAAATCAAAAAAATTGTTGCACATGATCAAAGATAAGAACTGATAAAAAATAGAGTCAAGATGCCCAAGGTGTATCCTTCATGCTTGTAGCAGGAAGGAGATATTGGAGCCTGATTAGTTATCAAATACCAATTACAGATAATTGTAATGGGACCCCCTCCTTGTTCAAAGTCTTAAAAAAATATTATTCCTCCACTTCACAAGTCACATGCTTATGACTTGGTCTAATTATTGAAAAAACAGTGCTGTTCATAACAGTATATACACTCATTTCAATTAAAGTTATCGGCTAAAATATGTGTTTCCAATTTCTGAGAGCCTCTAAGAAATCAACAATGGCCAGTAAAACTGGTCACCCCTACAAAAGGTAATTGAAGTCTGAGTAATAAGTAACCCACCCAATTTTATCTGTTGTATTCTGGGTCTTTTCAAAGTACAATGCATGCAGCTGTTAAGAAATATGTGTACTTTGCCTCATCTTTTAAAATAAGATGAATTACATACAATTTAGCAAGATGATGCTTTTATTATTATGTCATTTTATAATTGCATTCTTTTTTTTTTTTTTTTTTAAATAGAACCAATAAAACCAATACATTTTATTTTATATTAAAAACTTTTAGTGTAAATCACCAGAAATATGTTTTTTCATTTTTAAAGCACATAAACTTTTACATTTGTAATGCTCTACTCCCCACAAGATGATGCTTTTATTATTATGTTATTTTATAATTGCATTCTTTTTTTTTTTTTTTTTAAATAGAACCAATAAAACCAATACATTTTATTTTATATTAAAAACTTTTAGTGTAAATCACCAGAAATATGTTTTATCATTTTGAAAGCACATAAACCTTTACATTTGTAATGCTCTACTCCCCATCCACTATTCTAAACTGTCTGATGTTGATGTATTAAATTATTTATAGTAGAATCAAAATAACTTTCAAAAAGTATTACTCAGACAAGTTTAATGGTAACAGGAACTAGAAAGTTGTTTTTTCCTCCCCTATAATAAATGGCATCTCATGATTACACAAGGATGTTGAAAAGTATGGTAGCAACCTGTCAAAATTCAGGTCATGGTTTTAACAGGGTTTGGGAAAAATATTTAAAAAAACATTCAGGGCCCGGAAAGTTTTGGAAATTTGACAAAAAACGCCAGTCTTTGAAAGTTTGGGAAAATGATTTTAAAGAATAAATTTTAAAAAGAAATATAAAAAAAGGGATGTTTCCCTTTGATTGACATGTGCAGTGCAGGTTTTTTAATGATCTGTAACCCTGCAAGAAAGAAATGTGTTGATTAGTATAGGTAGGTAGATTTTTAAAAATCTTAACAAGTAAGCGATCACAAAATAACTGCTCCTGTTTTGATTTGGCCTAAACGTTCTTTGTTAAAATTTGTTGGCCTTTATTCTCCTTTTTTAAATTTTGGATTTGCGATACATGTGGATTTTCTATTAAAATCCTTTAAATCTTTTGAACAGTTTACAATATTAAATATGCCTTGAGTTTGTTATTTTAATGATGTTAGCTTGGATAAGTCAGAATACAAGTTTTGGCTAAAAAAAAAGTTACAAATGACAGGGGGAATGCCTATTGCAATGTTTGTAAAAAAAAAAAAAATTGATATCTCAATGATCGGTGAAGAAGCACTGGCTAGCTATGCAAAGGGTAAGCTACAGAAACTTAAACCCATTTATAATTTCTCTTTGTGAAGTAAAAATTGGATGATCAATGATATACAATTTAAATATTACTGACTATTAGTTTTCGGGTTTCTTTTCCACAATTATTTAATTAGGCTAAGCTACTAATTAATTGATTTGGCGACCACAAATGATTTTACCCAGGCTTAAGGCAATCAGTTAATTTTAATATGACCTCAGTTGTGATAAATAATTCAATAATGCAGTAATTCATAGGCCTAACTACAGCCTAATATATCATAATTTATTGTTTATTATAATTTAGGAAAAAAGCCCATGTAGTATGAGAAAGCTACCAGGCCATTTTTCTTTGACTTTTATTGCTTTTATTATACAACTAATAAGAACTGCAACCATTCCTAAGTTGTACCAAACAATGTTGCCATTTTTTGGCAGCAGACTTTGGTAGCTGGCTTGGCCCAGTCTCTTATGTCAAACAAGTTACTTTTGAACAAAAGCTGAATCAAATGAATATAACATTGTACACACTTTTTTGTTGTATTTACAAAAACTAAACCATGTCTCTATGAGGGCAACTTGGACATTATGCATGTATTGTGTATACTTTAGTGTGATTAAAGTACTTTTTTTTAATCTAAGTTGCAATTAGTTGAGTCTTTGAAGGTTTGGGAAAAGTTTGTGAGTTCTGGACCTTGAAGTCTGTATGTAACCCTGTTTTAATTAAGGAGGGATGTAATGAATGTTTTCTCCTCAGGTGTCCTAACAACTTCATAAGTTGTGTAGGGGCAGGATCAGTAAACAGGACCACAGTAAATTGTTGACACAACATGTTGTCATGTCCACGGTAGCTTTAGTAGGTCAATGACCCAGAAAACTTTGAAGCTGATACCCTCTCAAAACTTCATGTTTCTCACCTTGCCCTGGTGGCTAATGTGTTCAATAAATATTGATTGGGGGAAAATGTTATTCTTTAAATCAGTTCTTTTAAAGTTTGATTGAAATAGTTTGAATTAACAGAAGTATGATAGAGAGGGGTTAATAAAAGGCAAAGATTCATTTAAAAGCCTCAATATGGTCGTTTTATCCTGACTTGCAGGCATGTATTCTTAGGAGCTGATCAGCAGGAATATAATTGTTTTTTTAAACAGAAAATAATGAATATTGTTGAAATCGAAGCTGAGTTTGAAAAAATGCTACAAATGTATTTCAACTGTTATGATTGATTCATATTTGTTTGTAAATATTGCTATCAATTAAGTTTACAAAAAATTTAGAAAGTGCTTTGGTGGATTCAAGGTTTTTCAAGGGAAATAATGCAGCATGCACCAAAACTAGCTGTACTGAAACTCCCACATCTTGAGGGCTTACTTGCGTTTATCAACTGGGCTCAACTAGAAAAATATTTTCTTACATAGAGAGACCCATTTCCAACAACATCTGCCCAACACAACTTCCTTGACACCCCAGGGAACACATGGCAGCTGGAGCTGTGGACAGTTGACAAACACACATACACGTTCAAGATGTGGGAGTTGCAGTACTGTTACTTTTGGCACATACTGTAAATAACGGAGGGGAGAGATTTTTCAATTTCATTACTGTTTTTACCTAGGAAAAGTGAAGGAGTTTTTCAATGGCTTTGTTTCAAAAATGTTGAAGGAATCTTCATTATATATTTAGATTTTCAAGTGCTGTCACATCACCAAAAAACTCATTGAAAATATCAATTTCTCTACCAATATCTCAACTAGACTATAAGTGATACTTATATTTTTACAAATGGTTTTTAGCATTAATTTTTTAAATAAAAAGTCAGCATTTAATAGAAAATTAGTTACATAGAGATAATCAATTACATTAGATAACTTGTGATTTGTTGTTCATATCAGTTAATTGTTATACAATTTCAAAAAGAAAAAAATGGTTTAGCATATCATGCCAATTATCTTGAAAAACATGTTACAGAAAAAAAAGAAAAAATCCCTTTTAACCTCAGATAAGTTAGTTTTGAAAATGTCTGATTTTTCTTGGGCCTATAAATAATTGTTATAATGCTAACAAATATCTTTAAATTGATTAAAAGTTCTAGAGAAACATTTCCCTTTCAGATATATTATAGAATTATACATAGGACAGTAACCCTTTATCAGTAGACAAAACAGGAGGAAAACTTGACTTAAAAAAAAAAAAAAAAAAGTTAATTGTTCTTAAAAATCGTACAGAAAGGAAATTAGAAGTGGCTGGACAGGAATGAAAAAGGTCATGGCTAGGAAAGAGGAATAAAGTTTATAATTCCCGTTACAGTAACTATCATTAAGGTTTACTTAATGGCTTTTTCCCAAATAAAGCTCATTGTGTATTTTTGTAAAACTTGATTTGCTCTTTTTTCTTTTTTTATGACCTAGTTTTAAGCTTTACTTCAGTCTAAATAAAGTAATTTCTATTTCATTGAATTTAAGTTGAGGAAAGAAAATGGTTACTGGTATAGTTTAAATTATTTGAACATTTTTTTTTTAAATACCGGCTTAATGTTGATAACAATGTCTGTGAATAGTGGCATGAAGATAGTTGTCCAGAGTTGCAGATGGCAATGTGTAGATGTAAGTACAGAGTGATTTGTATCAAATTGGGTCATGGACGGCCTGCCAGGATGTAGCCAACAGCAAAGTGTGAGACCAGTGTGTTGTCTAAGCTAATAATGGCCAGCCCCCTGGAAGGTGGTTATTGAATTAGCAATGTCCTCTTGGGATCCCACGGAGACACTGAAAACAGCCAATATTATCTATGCTGTTGAGAGGGCCTTTTTTCATGGACATTTTCTTCCTCATTGATCGCAGTCACGAGAAGGCTTAAGCTTTTCAGAGATGTAATCACTTAGCTAAATTTTAACAATTACCTAGACTTATTAAAAATGGTTGTGAAGAGAGATTTCATCTTCTTCAGTTCAAGTACTTTTTTGTGATCTTCGTGTTACATTTAAAGGAATTTCAAATGGAATGTTTATAGGTTATGGATTTGAAGCATTTTATCGTTATACATTTTCTATTTCAATTTCATTTATGATATAGATCAATGAAACACTTATCTACTGAACAAAAGAAATTGAGCAGTGAATAAAATATTTTCTTTTCATAAAGCGTATTTCTTTATTTTTCTCTTAGGATTCAAAGAGACGAACCACCCACCCACAAGCGGCAAATGTCAGGAGGTGGAGGTAGGTGCTCCTTGTTCTTCTTGTTCTGAATTCATTCTTGAATAACAGTTAATCATTTTGAAAGCTCAATGAATATAATATCTATTTCAAACTGAAGGTTTATGGCATTGTTTTATTTTTGAGAACTTGTCCAGATTTCTTCTCTAAAAAAAAAAGTCTTAAGCAGCAGAGAGGGTCATCTTTTCAAATGATCCAAGTGAGACTGAACCACAATCTAATGACAGACACCTCTTTTAATTAGCATATGGCAATATTTTTATGTTGATTTAATTCTGTAACAACGTCTATATACATTTCTTTAAAAAATGCAGGCTTTTTTTTGCTTAGTAAATTTGAACAGCCTGTAAAAGTAGCCTAAAAATATTTCATCATTGCAATTCTAAGGTATGAGAGACTCTTATCCAGCTAATCAAGAACCACCACCGAGTATTGCCTCGCAAGCTCCTCCAGTGCCCCCGAGCTCAGCGCCCCCAGCACCTCCTGCCTTGCCTGCACCTCCGCTGGCACCCCCGGCACCAGCAGCACCCCCGGCTCCACCAGCACCTCCTGCAGCTCCGCCCGCAGCTCCACCTGCGCCATCTGTTGGCCCACCTGCACCGTCTGGAGGTCCACCGCCGCCACCACCCATTCCCGCAGGAGGGTTTCAGGCTGGTGGAGGAGGTGGTGCCAACCAAGGAGGATTAGCGGCTGCCCTCCAAGGAGCTAAATTAAGAAAAACACCCAGGGTGAGAACGGGCATGAAGCTCAAAATGTATTTTGAAGTCAAAATGTAAATCAAGATCTCTTCTTTTTAAATGAGATTAACTTATGGGTCTTGTGTCTATTATTATACTTTCACAGTGAAGATATAATCATGGATACAAGATGATCTAAGTAATAGTTTAGAAACGATGTTTGCTCAGTCATACTTTTTCTGGTAAATGGCTGTATTGTTGTTCCCTCTCTCTTCATTTTTTTATAATTATTTGGTATGGCTATCATTCACTGCACCTTTACCCAAATTCTATTGATTTTTGCTCAACAGCCAGAAGAGAAAGAAGTTGGTGTTGTTGTTGCAGTTGGTGGAAGTAATAACACTGGTACCACTGGCCGAGGTGGAAGTGGTGGTGGTGGTAGTGGTAGTGGCGGAGGCCATATTGACATGATGTCGGAGATGCAACTTAAGCTCAAGGCTAGGAAAGCAAAGTCAGAGACACCAGGACAGGGACAGGTAAAATTGTTGCTTTTCATTAATAGTAAATTTTGAAAACTGGAAAATTGTGTAAATTTTAATGCACTCATAAGTATAATTTTGACACCCCACTATGTTCTAAAATAACTAGGTGGGAACTTTCATATCTCTTGCACACACACAATCGTTACACATCTAACAAGCTCAAATTTTCTCAGGGTTTTGAAGATTAAATAAAAATTTTATTCATTCAAAAATGAGCCCAAGCATTTGACAAAATATGAAAAGGGAGACAAAAAGTTCATTTTAGTAAACTTATGAAAAAAATTTTTTAATTAATTATAGTAACAATATATTATTCATGTATAAGTAAATTTAAAGCATATAAATGTGAAATCATCAGAAAAAATGCATGTTACCCAAAAGTAAGAATTTTATAGATTTTTTAAAAATCATAAAAAAATTAACGAAGTAAGATATTTAAACAAACTTTACACCATATCATAGTAAATGTTAATTTTTTTAATGAGAAATTAGCAGATGAAGGTTTAGGAATCAAAATTCTGCTAACGAAACATGATAAAAATTGTTGTTTTTTTAAAACCGAACATTTTCATCCATATTTATAAAGGTATTTGGAAATCTTTAGGAAACATTAGCTAAAATTTAGTAATGAAAATTTTTTACAAGAACAGGTAATCAACAAGGATTATCTCAAAGGCATGTTCAAAGATATAGAAATTTCATAGATACTTTAAAAAGCATATAAAATCAAGAAAGTAAAATATCTAAATGATCTTTACACCATATTGTTGTACATGATCATCTGTGAAATAAAAAATATGAAGGTAAACCAGTGAGTGATCAATGTCTGAGCGCTTACAATCACTTTCAATCAAGTTGGTAAAACAACATTCATCAAGAACATCAAGTAAAATCACTCAGTTGTCTTCTTGATACATTTAAGGCATCTTGACAAAGTTTAATCAATACATTCAAAAGCAAAGTTTCATCACATTGATGAATATATTTATATACAGCATCATATACATCTGACTCATGGTATGATGAATTAAATCTGCCTTGAAACACAGACTTACATTACAAATCTAGTGGATCATTCACACATTCTTCCAGAAAGTCAACCATACATATAACAAATTCATGAATTTCATAGTATTTTATTTTTATACTACATCTAGTTACAATATCCCAATATGGGCTTCATTTTTCATACTGCACCAGATGATGTTTATACCCACCTCGAGGGAGTTTGGTTTCTTGTTTGTTTCTTAACACATGTAATCATACCTGATTGCCAAACAGTTACTGTATGGTGTAGATCCTTTCACTGTGGTAAAAAAAAAGGGTCTAGAAGTAAATTGAAATTGTTCTTTACACATTAGAGGTTATTTAGTGAAATTTTGTCATATGGTCAGTTAATAGACATAATAGTTACTGGTTTTTTTTGTCCAGGGAGAACCAGAAGCAACACCAATTTTCACGAATCCTACATCGTCACCAGATGTACGTAGACCATGGGAGAAAACCGCCGGCAATGGTGCTGGTGCCCGACCGGTACAAGTCAATGGTTCTGAATCACCAAAGCCCATGAGAAAGTTAGTAATGTTTGAATCCTAATGAAATTCATTAAATGATGATAAATTTAAAAGGTGAAGCTGATGAGCAGTGCCCTGTATACTTCATATATTTCTGCCAATAATTTGTTAGATTTGATCTTTGGAAACTCGGTTGTGATGTCAATAGTACAAATGTAAGAAAAAACAAGTTGAGTAATCTTGTATTAAATGCTATGCAACAGTAACCCTGTATCACATCCAAGATCTTTTAATTATAAAATGGCTATGTCCCCTTCCCAATTGACTTTGAAAGGCATTGTATGTGGAATGCTAAAAAAAAGCTAGTTTTGTGTGATAGTGACTTTGTGATTTTCATCTGCTTCTCTAAAAGTGTTCCGAGTTATAATTGTAACATGGGACAACAATCGATAATGGCATTTGTAAAAGTGTTGAATTGTGTTCTGCGTAATTTTATTATTTTTGACTTGATCAGCCTTTTGGATAATTTGAGACCCAGGCCCCTAGCTTAAATAAACTGTAAAATTACAAGATAAACCCCAGTGCAACAGGGTGCAGCAATCTTTAAAAATCTCCTACGCCAAAACTTATTTCTGATAAGAACTCTACTTTTTAACTGTTTTTTTATCGAATTTTGGATACATTATACTATCCTGCAGTTACAGTTTTTTATATTTGTCCCCTAGAAGGAATCCATCACTTACTGGACAGGAGGCCTTAGGACTTCCCAGCGAGGGAGGAGTTCTTACTGGGGAAATGGAAATTCTAAAGCAAGAGATATTGACAGAGATGAGAAGAGAAATGAATAAGATGAAAAATGACATAATTGAAGGTGAGCTTTCAGTTTTATTTTGAAACAAGAATAAAATATCTTAAAAATTCTTATTCTCCAATATGAATTAATTTTTTTTTAAATTATTCTTTCCCTTGGCATACTGAGGATTGTTAGACATCTTAAATGAAGATACAGCTACATTCTTAAAGCATATGTTAATTCTTTGAGAAAATTTCCAATTTAATATTAAAGGTTTTTGATACAATAATTTTAAATCTAAACTCTATTTCATTATTTATTTCTTATAAATAAATTTTCAAAAATAAAACTACAAATTCATTTAATTATTTCTTTTAAATTCAACTATTAAACTATTCAACTATTTCTTTAATTCTTTGTTTTTTGTTTTGTTTTTGTTATCAACTGTTTTTATTTTTAACATTTTTAACCAGCTGTTCTTAATGCTACTAAAAATGAATATGTAATCAACTGGTACTTGTTATTATCATGAAGGCTATTATATAAACTAAGATTACAGATTAATTATTGATTTTCTTTTGGGCCTTCCTCAGCTCTACGTCAAGAGTTAGGACATAGATAACATGGAACTCATCATTGCTAACAACGACATTTATATTGTTAAAACAACTCTGCAAGCACAGAGGAAAATCAAATAGCCTTGTTCGCAAAATCTATTAATTGTTCTGACATGGCATTTCTGAGGAAAGAGGTGTACAGACAGAGAAACACATCAAAGATCTTATTGTGTTGGCATGAATGTGTAACCCTTTTTATGCTCTTCGTTTTAAAAACCAAAACTGACTTAACTCTTTACAGTTCAGTGCATGTAAAAGAACTTCAGATTCGTCTAATTTCTTATCCATTTCTTTCTCATACATTGAAAGGTTGCTTTTGTTTTTTGTCAAACATTTTGGGGAGGATTAAATAATTGGAACAGCATTGCAATCTGGCTGCTATCTCTGGAACTTTTTTTAGAATTGTCACTTTTTAAAAAAGTCTCAAAATATAGAAATATCTGGCGCCTGCACATTAATTTTTTCATCATAGAAATATCTGGTAGCGGCACATTAATTTTTTCATCATAGAAATAGAGGAATTTTGTTGTGTAAACCACAAATCAGTGTTTGCCAATCAGCAAATAACATTTTTTCATATTTTAAAATATGAATAGATCAGTGCAACAGCATGTCATGCCACTTTGTTAGGCTATTCGAGGGTCACAACCTGCACCCGGGGAGCTGCATGCGGCACTTTGAATTGAATAAGCACTGCTCTTTTCATCATTTAATTTTTTTACAAATCTATAATGCCATTAAGTTGCATGAAAACTTTTTAAGACCTTGTTCCAATCTATTGGCAATTTACAGGAGAAAATTTATTTTATTAGTATGTAGAGAATATTATACAAGTTCATGCCACATATCATACCCCTGTGTTTTGAGTAAAATAACATGTAAATATAGTATAAAAACAAAGAATAAACAATAGAATTATATTATTTTTTCCTAATGTAGTTTCTAAATTTTAAGTATCATAAGTAAAATAATACTCCAGGTGTCAGCGCACATTCGTTCTCTGAATCTGCCCCATGTCTGGGGGTTTCTTAATATTTCCTTAGCAGATATATTGATAAAATGGCTCCTTCCCCCCAAAAAGTTGCCAACTGGTGGGTTATACCATTATAGAAATAGTCATTTATTTGTAATATCTGTTTGGACTGTAATGAGTTAAGTGCTTATAGGTGAATAGGTTTTATAAAAAAAAAAGTTTTTTCGTTCACAGCACTTTTCCTAGAACAATTAGAGATAATGAGGTTATGGAATTGGGATAGTTTGGACAGAATACTCAAATGTGTTTTACTGGTATGTAACAACACTTTATATTTTGTTACATTGAAATTATTTTTCTATAAAAAATGTCTCGTGAAAAGAAAATATTTTGGTCAGTTCATCTTTAAAATTTGAAGTACAAGCCAAGGCTTATACATTAGTCTGGGTGCTTTAACTAGCTGCCAAAGACTATTTATATAATGTTAAAATTTCTGAAATGTATATTTTTATAATTATGTACAATAATGGTAAGTGCACATAAAAAAAATTTTTTATAACACAGAAGATTGAAATTTAAAAAAATGTCTGAGACAGGAAAAAGTACTGACGTGTGTTCAATTTTTTTAAAAAGCAACCCTCCGTGAAGACATCATGACCCTTCTAGGGGAACTATTTTGAATGGCTGGTTAATATGTTGCTAGATTTTTACAAATGTCCCACTTTCCCAAAGTATAAAATTAGTATCATTAGCCTAGGCTCACACATGTAAACATATAGAGGTTAAGTTTGTAGCAATCTTCTGGATCATAATCTAAAAATAAAGCCAACTATTTTTGGTATTTTTTTTTTTTTAATTTTACATTGGAGAAATTATGTCTCTTTTAAGTGTGTTTCTCAAGAGCAAACCATTGAAATTTTATTTTTCTGTGAATTTTTAAAAAAATGCATCCTTTATATATTTCTGTTATAGTGTGGTATGCGTGATGTTATAAATGTGCACAATTTTGCTTAGAGTATTCACATATGAATATTATTGTATGCTCGTAATAAGAAGCTCAAATGTTAAACACCGATTAACGTACACATTCATGTCCTCTAATAATAAGATATCTGCTAAATATAGTTATGAAATATTTATAATTTTATTTTTACTTTTAGTTAACATGAATAATTACAGTTAATGCTCTACTTCTTGGACTTGATACAAAGCAACAAAAAAAAATCATTTCGCAATACTTTAGCCACCTAAAACTTGCCACACGTTTTTTCTACAGTCACAATTGTTCACATATTATTCCAAACATAATTTTCAGTATTCATTGAAAAATTTGTAACATTGGGGCCCTAAATGTTATCATTTGTAATGTGTTGTCCAACTGATTTGCAAAAAATTTTCTAATTTACTTTGGAGCACTTAAATATTTTCTCATCCATTGAAACAATGTGTTTGCACAAAGATCTAAGTAAACATTTTTTTAAAATGAAAATTTCTATCTGTGACAAAGGTCGTAATCTTATGGGATCAATATTTATTGTTTATAATCCTTGCCATACATCTTTCACCTTCACTATTTTTGTTCATGTTTATTTTATAGTGCTTTTAAGGATGTCCCTTTTTCTCTTGACTGTTTCAGACATGGTCGCTGAGATTTATTTTTTTGTTGACACGTTAGGTAATTTTATCTTTTCTTTTTGAGACTTGCAAACAACTTTGTGTACAGATTTCTTTAAAATGTCGTGTAAAAAGCTTTGATTACATACCCAAAGACCTAATTGTTTTAGCACTTGTTGAGTGGGTTTTAAGGCTGCATGGAAATCTGAAGTATTATGCAAAACTAGAAGCCTTGAGTATGTGTCTTCAAGTGAATGCCCATGACTAATACCTGGATTACTCAGCAGAGGACAGCCTGGGAAAGATAGAAAAAGAAGAGCATAGAATCAGCCATTAGAAAATAAATACAAGGCATATACATGCTAACCCATTTATGGTAATAAAACAGTTGATCAAATTTAGGTAAAGAAATTAAATGTGTACCCATGACTTTCCAATACTAAATTTGTTATTATAAGATGCAAATGTTTCACACATCGGGACAGTTTTTTGATACCAACAATCCCTTAAAGAAGGCTCATGATCCAACAGTTGTTTGACCACAAATAGATGAAAAAAGAAAGGAGGAGAAAATGATTTGTGGTTTTACAATGTTTGTATCACACATTCTTGGAAACAATGAGACTATGTCTTTACCCATCAACTGAATGCACGACAGGTTTAACCCAAGGGACGACAAAAAAAAGTGAAAAACAGACAACTGAAAACAAAAAATATGTAATGAAATATATGTTTATGCACCTAAGCATGTGCTGCACCTCAACCGTAAAGGCTGCTGCTATCAAATTTGGCACTCCGGGGTCTCAAAAAGATGGCAGATCGAATTACGGCATCAGATTCCTGCAATTTTTACAGTTTGGTTAGCTCAGGAGCCGACTGGTTGACCGGACTTTATTTTTTTTTGCATTTTTGGACCTAAGACTTTCCTGGAATTTCTGGTTTTACAGTTTTTCTGGCTTTTCTGTCCTGCATGCCCCCGGGTCATCTTCAATGACCTTGGATGGCTCCAGAGTACTTCCAAAAAGAATCGGACTTGAGTTTCAACAATTTGGTACTTGGTTGGTGTATCCAGTGCCCATAGGGACTGAGGCAGTGATCGGCACAAGGTATAGGGTAAAGGCAGGGTTGGGGCACTGCACATGCTTAGGGGCATGAACATATTCAATTTTTTTGTGTTCGGTTGTCTGTGTGTTGTCTATGAGGTCACTTGGTCTGAGTGGTCACTTTTCACGTGTTTGTCGTCCAGTTGTCGTGGGATACTTGTTATGCGTTCAGTTTTGCGGTCACGGCCCCTAGTACCATCCTGTGTCTGAAACACATCTGTTTATAATGTGCGATTCATGCTATACTACTTTTACTTCAGTTTGACCAGTGTTTACTTGACTGATTATATTGTAATGTGCCCTCAATCAAACTGCCAACTGTCAAGCTGGTTTTGTAAATACATTGTTATATGTGCTATAATTTCTTGAATACACTTTGCTTAAAGTATTAATGAGAATTAATGATACAATTTCAGAGCCAGAACTGATGCTTTTATGTAAAGATTATGTAAAACTGCAAACTAATTAACAAAATAATTAACGAAACCCACCAGATCTCCCCTCTGAAAATGATTAGAGATCATTTAAATTTAACTTAAAACTTGATTGTTGAAACTTGAGAAACACAATGACAACTAGGAAATATCACATTTCATTTTGCTTTACTTTTATGATCCATTACTATAACTAAATTTGTAATGGATAAATGTTAGATATTTCTCATTCATTCATTTGGAAATGGAATGACTTGTCCCAAAGCTACCGTATATTTTATTATTGAAGACCAGAACCTAATCAGTTAAATTAATTTTCAAAGATGAGGAAACAGATTTTTTAATGGCCTGAAACATTATTTTAAATGTTATGCTGGATGTATATTGGAAGTTAATTTCATCGTTTTGCATAGGCTACAATACAAAACTGTTGCGTAGACTACAATACAGAACTGTTTTCATAATATATTGTATAACCTTCAATTCAAATCGGTCAAATCGGTATTCCGTAAAACACAAGATTGGGCTTGATATGATTTTTTTTTCTTTGTATCCCTAATCCTACATTTTGCTCAATCATTGATCTCGAGGTCTTTTTTCCAGCATGTAATTTAAAAGAACAAAAACTGTAATTTTAAAATCTTTTGGACCTTGTACAACCAGTCAGTTCTTCTGTTTGTGGAACAAAATTATCATTTAGCAATAATTACCATTTTTAACAAGGAAATGAATTACAGTATTTTACTTGCCCTTAACATCATTTTGTAAACCTAAATCTTGTACACATTTGGTTACTTGTAATGAGTTTTATTTTCACTTTTCCAAGCAATTGTATTGCTACTCGAAATTCTTTTTTTTTTTTTTGTGCACCTATTCACTCTACAAATTAAAAAAATATAAACCCCTTGTGTTCAGTAAAGCAAAAAGTTTTTGAGGACATCAGAAGATAATGAAATCAAAATAATAGCATTTACACCTCGCTGAGTTTTCATCATTGATTTTTTTTTCCACAAAGAAGTAAATTCTTGACATCTCTATGGTACCCATCTATTTACAAAAAGCTAGTATTTTGACCTGTACAATTTAAATATGAAAGCAGTTATTACTGAAATTTAAATAATCAAGATTTTGAATTACTCACCAAAACAATTACCAAACCAAATTACATGACCAATAATAACTGGGTAAGTATATAACTATTGCTTTTTACATAGGGAATAAAGCTTAACAGATAATAAATAAATACTTTTGACTTTCAATTAATGGTTTGTTTTAAAACTGAATTCCATGTGGAAATTGTAACATTTTGAGTCTCAAATATAAATAGGTATTTATTTCTTAATTGTGTAAATTTATCTTACCAAAAAAACCAGCATTTACAAATAATTAATAGATGTCCCTTCCACCTAACCAAGAAAATAACCATTTCTAGCACAGTTGGCTGTGTTTATGAATTATTTAGCCCATTTATGTTTTACAATTTTGAATGTTCAAGGTTCACAAAAATCATCCAATATTATACCTTTTTTTTAAATTAAAAAAATACATGTTAATAAAGTAATCAAAGATATATATGGCATGCACACATGATTGAGTCTTTACCTATAACATGCACACGAGTCTTTACCTATGTGGCCCAACTATCAATGTACATATTGTAAAAATGGCTTCCTCCCCTTCATTGTCTTGCTCATAGCGGTTAACCTTACAGTTCTTGTGATGACCAATTTTATTAGTGTTGTACTATATATATGTATATTTTATCTATAATTTTTGCTTTTTATGTTGCTTATGTTATGTTTGTACGTGATGCTGCTACACAACTTTCAGGCAATTATAACAAACTTTCTTTGTCAAAAAATATTCTATGACTGATTGTGGAGAGCAAGACAATAATAATAAATGGTTTAAATATAAAAGTAATTTGTGGCATTCAAATTTTTCATAAAACTAGCTGTAAGATTTACTTTAAGTAGAATACTAAGTCTCAAAACTACTTCCAATTCTGAACTGATAACATAATAGGCATATTTGCAGTTATGATGAAGCTTGGAAAAAAAGATTAGAAAAATTAGAATAGATGTTCTCTATTTTTATTTTATTTAGATTAGAAGTTAGAAAGAAAAAGATTTCTATGGGCATGGAATACAAAAGTAGATTTGTAATTATCTGATTTGAGGAATTCTACTGTATGTAATCGGGTAGCCTACAATGGTTTTTGTGTTGAGTTTGTCATTAGTTCAAAAGGGTCATCATAAGGAAAAAAGTTATTATTGGAATAAATAATAAAGCAACTTTTTTTCAGTTGCAAAACCTTTATTTTAACTAAGGATGTAAAAGGAGAAGAGTAGTTTTGGACCTCACATTTTTATGGAAATTTTTTTTTAAAGTTATAAAATCGGAAAGAAAAAAAATAATTCTTTTTTAAAATGAGAAAACATTCAGCTTAAGTATTTTTAGTAAAAAATTTCCATTAAAAAAATTAACCCTCTAACAATTTAATTACAGTTACAGTGAATTTTAGTACATGTAAACTTTTTTAATTTTGTTGTGTGGATGTTGTACATTTGTAGATAATGATATAACATTCCCATGTTAGTGAATGTATATTCCTTCTACAGTTTTCTTAAATAGAAGAGTTCCATTAACTATAGCCCCTTACTTACAGCAATTTATACTTCAAATAAGATACATAGATTCTTTTATTGATCCAAATAAATGGAAATGTTGTTTTTTTAATTACATTTTACATATTCATTTTCAGCACATAAATAAATATTACTTTAACAAAGACAACATTTTACAATTAGAACAATATAAACCACAAGGCATCTAAAGTGTAACTCTAGATTAAAAATCAGCCAAATTTATTTTTAAAAATGAGCTCCCATGGTGACAATAATAACTTAATTAGTGATCATTTAGATTTGGTAATCCCTGGGGAGCACACTGGTAAATTCTTACTTCTTAAAGACTGGGGAACAAAAGAATTTTAAAAATCTTTCAGACCTAACTTTAAGGGGAAAAAGAAGTTCTACAAAAAGCCTTTTGAGAGTACAGAATAAGGTGTAGTTTGGCATTTTTAACCACTTATGAGTAATATGAGACATAACTAAAGAAATTTTAGTGCCTTAAATTTTTAAGAAGAAAAAACAATTGATATAACATTACAAATACAGACATAAGGTAGAAATAAACACACATTTAACCTGATTTAATTTCCAATATTCCCCTATTAATTTTAAAAAAACAAACAATAGATGGCTAAGAACATTAAAAAATGTATTATTTTGGGAGGACAAATCCTTAAAAAAAAATTCTGCATGTGAGCAAGTTTATCAATTTAAGGAAATCTTTTTATTACTAGTATATCTTAATTTGACTAGAATGGTTATAGAACTCATTAACTCAACCTAGCCATACCAGTACCAGCCTAATGACTATATAAACTAGTTCAATGATTTTCAAACTTAAATTTTATAATACTGCCATCCTAAACAAATTGATTGAATAACTTGGTTGGCTCAGCCACTTCTGAGCCCCCAATCACAAAGGCATGCTATAACAGCAGACCGACAGATGAAACTTAAGTCTTGGGTTATTTAACAGTTTTTATAGCAAAATCTAACACTAAAATCATCTTTTGTTAACATTTACTCTGAATACATTACAAGAAAATAAACAGTTGATATCTGGAAGAGACATATTCAAACAAATAGAATCTTTTTTTTTTAATTTTCTAAAATAATAATATTAAATAGAATTTTAGAAATCCTTATTCTGCACCTCCCCTTAAAAATGCAAACATTTTAAAGCATGCTTAAGCGGGGTTCACAGGTTTTAAACTAATTAATTTACATTTTTATGTTAGGTTTGCACATTTGGGTTTCAATAGCTGAAAAACTAAAAGCAAAAAACATTTTATGTTTATTAATTTTATGATTATGTAACTTTTTAATCAAATATAATCATAACTAAAAAAACTTTTGAAGTCACAGTGATGAAACTTGATACTGATTATATCATAGATGACCCCCTTGAGAACACTCTCACATAAACAAAAAACTTTTTAAAATGCCTTTGATTGGGGAGGGGGGGGGGGATGAAAAATAATGGCATAATTATATAGAATTTATATTTAATATATTTTTTTAAAACCCCCAACTGGTGTAAATCCCTCTCTACGTCGTCGTTGTCGTGCATGGAGGCGGAAAGCCATGGATCACTCCGAATGGATATGGTAGAGCAGGCCAGGGCTGTAGCGCCACTGGTGATATTTCTAAAAGAAATCAACTGAAGCAGATACAATCGAATGTTCTCATGAGATCAAAGTGATTAGTATGATCTACATATGTGCAATATTTAAACTATTTATCTCTAAAGAAAAAAAATCTACACAGTGCACGGTGTTGAAAAAGCAAAACAAAAACTGAGAAAAACAACTTAGGTTTGCAAACTATTTTATTAATAGGCAACCTTAGGTAATAAAATGTAGATGCAAATAGTGTAAAATGCAAAAATTTACATTTTGTATTGATTATTTTTTAAACAAAAAAATTATATACCAGTATATATATTATAAAACGGTTGTATAAAGATAAAATACATGGCACTGAACAAAACATAATTAATGCTAATGAGTTGAATTCAAATCTTACAAAATGTAGGGTATTCAATATGAAGAAATTTACAATATTTTATTATTACCCAAAAAAATAAATTTCACCAAACTACTCATAAAGACAATCTAAATTAATACTAAAACCTCCCAGCAATAAAAGATGCCCCACCCTCTTCTGTCTGATAGGACTTATTTTCTCTTAATTGTGATGTTTGATTTTTTCAAGTGTTTTAGACACGTCTAGAATGGCAGTCTCTGCTTTTTTTTAAAAGCCGCCTGCCATTTCTGTGAGCCTCTATTATCCCAACTTACTTTTTTGTTGTTATGGTACCCCACAACAGTCAGAAATCTGTGTTTTGCCACAGCCCCCTCACTGAACTCACCAACAGCAAATGCTGTGGCAAGTTTTACTCTGCTTACGCCAGAAAACAGATGTTTCGGGCATTACTCCAAATCATCCTGTGGAAGTTTTCATCTGTATTTTGATTCTTACCAAGACGATACCTCTCTAAAAACTTCAACTCTGTTAGCCTTTTCAACATCATTTCTCTCAAGTGTGTTGAAACTTTCAGATTTTAGGTTGTAAGCCGACTCTTGTGAGGAGAGATAAATCTCTCGCTTTGGCTGTAGATAGTGAGATCTTTCGCTTTGGCTCGCTGAAAGGAACACCATGAATCTGGACCAGAAGGACATTTCTCGTGATTAGGATTGTCATCAGTTGATGTTGAGTGATAGAATGCAGCCCAAATAGCATCACTTATTTCATCAACAGGCGAATTGTATGTCATGATAGTAGGTCTGAAGAAGTCCCATCTTAGTCTGATCATAATAAATAAGAAAGAAAAAAAAATTATAAAGACTCTCCTTGTCACTAATGAACACTAATATTGTTACTAAGGCTATAATCAATAATACAAACACAAGATTTCATTTACACTAACTATGTTTATATATTGAGATTACCTATGCCAAATTCCAAGTCCTGCTCCACACTTCTCTTGTTTTCTGTATTGATCAGGTTACGAAGGGTTGTGTTGAGCCTTTTTGCCACAAGCTTGATGCACTCTTTCTTTGTAATGTATGTCGTCCCTTAGGGCCTGGTTTCAGTGAGAGCAGAGAATGTTTTGTGTCCCCATCTGACACAAGAGTTATATACCACAGCTCGTGCAGCATTTCTGACCTACCCCACATAACTCTAGCTGCCTCCACTTTCATTACTCCAGATGAACATGGGAAGTTTTAAGAGTATTTTGGTTTGTGCTCTTCATACTATGTAGAGTGTTACGAGGGCAAGCCAGTCTCCTGCTAACTTCAACAGTGGTATACTGCTGAATAGATTGTAATTTTTAAAAACAATTATTACCAGCTATTTATGACAATTAGAATATACATTTTATAGTATAATGAATGGTGACCAAAACTAATTATTAGACCATAAAATACATTGTATTTTCTCCATGCCCATAAGCTCTAAAAGTTTGGCTAAGCGATTGTAATTGATGCCAATAGAGAGTCAAGCAAATACTAGTGCTCTATTCAGTTCATAAATTTTTTGTGAAGTAAATGCTTAAAACCCGAGGCACAATACAGGCAGGGACAGAGCAAATATATATACATATGAACTAGCCAGCCTATATAGATATTTCTTTACTAAACATAGTAAACTTCTAAACATTGTTCTTAAATAAATTCAGATTAAAATTGAATCATGATTCAATGGCTTATTACCTTTCTAATTGATTCATTTTCATTCTGGTTCTGTTATGGTGCTCACAAAAGACAAAACCCTGTTACTGTTAGATGGAGCATCTCATTGTACTTCGTAGTACAGAAGCTAGAAGAATTTAAAAGAAAAAACGTAGTAATATTTATAATTCACAAATCCTTGGTTTACAAACACAAATTCGATAATAAATAAGGTCACACACAATGAGCTGAATGAATGAAATGGGGAATACAATTTATAAAGCCTTTGCCGTGGCCTGTGTGGAGCTGCTTTCAACATATTTTACATAGACATAATATATGTTTTCTAAATTATTTTCCAGGTAAGACTATTACTTAAACTTTTTAAATTTAAAGACTAGAATTACTAGAAATAGAGATAGTTAATCACTTCTAAACTGTCCACTGTTATTTGAAAATTTGATATTTATCATGCTCATGCCGGTAGGTAAGGAATTTATAAATTTATATGAAATTATATTATACTACTAATATTAATAATAGTATAAGTATAGACTAGATCAGTGGTTCTCAACCCCTTTGAGGTCCCACGACCCTTTTCCAGGGGTCACCTATGACCAACTGAAAACACATATGCTTTTCAATCATGAAGTAGAAACTAAAATAATTTGTGGCTGAGGGTCGCCACAACATGAGGAGCTCTATTAAAGGGTCGTAGCATTAGGAAGGTTGAGAACCACTGGACTAGGTAGTGATTTAAGTGATAGAACTAGATCCTAAGTCCTGTACAAATAAATTATTTAAACAGATTAGTTATTTGTAAATACAGAATGACAGGACTACGAGAAAAAAAAAGTATGAGAAACGCTGGGCCGGTTGGTCTAGAGAAGACTTTTTTATAATTTACACACAAGCGACAGGGCCATGGCCATGGCATATCATATTATCAATAATTTAAATAAATATCCATCATATTTCTGATTTTCAAATTCAAATCAATCAATGATCAATAGCAATTTATCAAAATAAAATTGATTGACCTAATTGTTGAGATACATTTTTCTTCATAGAACGGAACATTACTTTTACCCCTCTAAAATTGACAACTATTGGGGAGGGAACTTCCGAAAGGGAGAAAGAAATGGAGCTAACACTAACATCAAATCCCCGCGATGCAAGTGCGACACATACTTTTGCACTACACATTCATACAGCACAGTACACAGTTGTGTACGTAACGCCACCTGCCGGGGATGAAAATAATATCTAGAAATCCCCGGATGAAACTTTTACGCCTGGGTTATTAAACTGTTTTTAAAACAAAATCTAACACTAAGTAACCTATTTACTTTTGCAATAGCATGAAAAATATCAGGCCGTTGCAAATAAAATGATACATATAAACATACTTCGAACGAAAACTTGTTTATTTCTTGATGATGTAGGCATAAGCCATATTCCTCTTATCAAGGTCACAGCTGTGTAGTTTGTGTGCGCATGATCTAGGCGCAAATGGACGACATATTTTTAGGTCATTTGGCAATGAACCAATCAGCGTTGGGATATGTTAGAGGTAGAGTTGTTGTTCCCTTCATGGGTTTTCGTTCTTCTAACAAATCTTGATACGAATTTGTTTTAAATTTTAACCTACCTATATTCATGATCCCTAGATCCGTGGTTGGAAATTAAACTAACAAGCTAGGTTATTCATGGTATGTACTCCTTTTTATTTTTAATTCTTCATTTGTTCTGTGAAATTGATTTACATCGTTTACCCATCAGAAAAACCTCATTCATCCATTCACAAATGATTCAGTAAATCTAGCTCTATTGAATTAATTCGGCAACTTTTGTATCTTCCTAATCTGATTGAATTCATATAATAGACGTATAATCTTTTGATTAAAATGTTTATTCGTATTTCTTCGGCTGGATTAACCCTAAATGGCAATATACCTAATAGAAAGAGTATAAAAAAACTTCTAGACATGACATCAACTGCAGCATTGCCAATGAATCATGAAAGTTCAGTTGTTCAACATTCATTGTGAATGTGCCAAGCCCAGTGCTAAAAGGCCAATACAATGGAGAGTCAGTCTTGATTGAAATTGAAACTGCATTTGAAGGCTGAAGGTCCCGTTTTAGTTTGTAAACTGCTTAATTCTCAGAAAAATTGTAGTGTAGTGTGTCTGAATCTGACTGATTGCAATAAAGTGAATAATTGTCATGGTACCACCAGTATCTCAGTTGTCAGTATCATTACCAGTCCAGCCTTCCATAATTATTGGCTTAGCTGCTAGTCCTATATAAATACTATTAATATATATTATTTGTTATTTTTTTCATACTCATAACTTTTTTTAAGCCTATACTTAGTTATTTAGTTAGATATCAGATAGACTTAGCTAGATTTAGATACTGTCAGTGTCAGTATTTCTAAATATAAAAATGCTTATAATGTCGTAGGCATATGTAGCCAAATAATTAGTAAAATTTTATTTTTTGTTGCATAGAGGCCAATAGCTAAGTTTGTAACTTAAACTCAATTTCAAGAAATAGGCCTTATTTTCAGCAATCACAAGTATAAAATAATTTATATATATATTTGGACTGATGCCAGTGAATTTAGTGATGAAAATATTAGTATAATATAGATATTAGGTGTATATAGTATAAGTTAAGCTCTGAGACAAAATAGTCATGTTGCCTGACTCTGACAGCTAAGTCCACTATTTATAATATTTATTTAAGCAACTTACTTAGTGAATTTTGTTAGTAATGTTGTTGCTATAATATGCTTAACTTTCATTTTATTACATTTAACATAGCCTATTTAAATATAAAAGTGTAGATGATTCATAATATTTTAATATAAGTATAGCTTCTTTTTTATCTGTAGGCTCAGCAAGGTTTTGGGCCTCCTTCTTTGCCTGTAGGTACGGAAGTTAGTGCCAAATACAGAGGAGCTTTTTGTGAAGCTAAAGTAAAAACAGTTGTAAGAATTGTAAAATGCAAGGTGGGTTTTCCATTTTTTATTTTTATGTAGAAAGATAAATTTAATGATTAAGATTAACTGAAATTAAGTGTTGTAATTTATAAATGAGGTTAGCCTCTAAACGTATAGGGCCTAATGGTTCTGCATACTTGACAGAAAATGGGAATGTTTTAAAATTGGTTATCCTTTTTTTTTAAAGATATTTATTTCTATTTCAACCTTATCAAATCTTAATATCTTTAGCTTGGTTGTTAAACTATTATTCTCTTTTAACAAAAACCATAATTATTAAAATTTATATAAATATACATATTCAATAAACAGGTAACAGTAAAAGACTGTCAGTCGAATGTATTTGTCAATGATGATGACATTAAAGGTGTTATCAAGGTACATTTCTGTTTAGTAGAGAACATTTTTCAATAATTAATTTAGTTGGATGTGTACAGTGTACATCAAGTGTAATTTTTAAATTTGAAATAGAAATTGGAGTCAACTTTTGTTTAGCCCACAAGAAATTGAACACCTTCTTTATTTTTATAGCTTGGAGCAGTAGTTGAAGTCAAGCATCCTGACACTGGCCAACCAGTGGAAGCTACCATCAATAAACTCATTGATCATAGCACTTACACTGTTGGTAAGTTATGTGCCTATTATAAACCTATGAAGCTTGCAGCAAGTTTTTCATGTGGAAATTAAAAAAATATATCTGTAAATAAAATACATCTCACTCTCATAATTCTTCATTTAGACGAGACGCTAACTTTTTAATTACTATTTTCAGTATTTGATGATGGTGATGAACAATTACTATTTTCAGTATTTGATGATGGTGATGAACGAACACTAAGAAGATCACAGTTGTGTTTGAAGGGGGATAAACATTTTATAGAGAGTGAAGTAAGCTCTTTTTTTTACATATTTATAAACTAATTTTTTAAAGCTTTAATATTCTACATTAACAACTAGACTTAAAAAATATAGTAATGAATTAGCACATTGCTTACACTTAGTATATTTATTTATTTTAAAATAACACTTCATTTACAGCAGGGGTCTCAAACTTGTGGCCCGCAAGTCAATATTTTGTGGCCCGCTACATGACAGCAAAGTTTAGTGTTAACACGGCCCACGCGCTTTCCCCATTCTCATATCTATAATATGACACTCTGCGACAGTTTAAGTCGAATCTCACCGACTAATCTAATTCTAATTTATATTGTGTTTGTATATATTTGGACGTTGATTATAATGGTATTGTAAAAGATCAGACTAAAGGTTTTTATTTTATAGCATTTTATGAGACACTCATGGCCAAAGTGCAGTTTTGAGAAACATTTAAAAAGTTAGTGGGTAACGCACAACCATAATTGTGTAAATCCTAACAACCTGACACAGTATCAAAGAATCCCTATTAAAATTGCGCTAGTGTTAAAGAGTGAGGGACATTCCGAGCCTGTCAGCTTGGTCACTTTCACTATTGGGTTTGTCAAGAAGGCATTTTCTTCTATAAAAAAATCAAAATTCATTCTCCCTACAACAGCATCTTCCATCGCACCAATAGTTTATAAATATTGCCTGCCCCTGCCTACTGTTTGAACACGTTTTAGCCTTCAAAGCCTTCATGGAAAAGGATGGGGTGGTTGTTCCTGTACTAAGTGATCCCAAATGGCTCATGGAGTTGGCTTTTCTTGTTGATAATACACAGGGGCTGTATGTACTCAACAAGAAGTTACAAGACCAGTGGTAGCTTTTCAGTGTTGCCAATTACAATGTCAGGGCATTCTGCACAAAAATTGTGTTATGATTCTTAGAAAAACCTCTGCCATTTCCCCAACATGCAAAGTACTCATGGACTCGGGCGCACCCTTCAGAAGTAAGTATACTGATGCCATTGCTAAGCTACAGGAAGAATTTGATCACATGTTTTTAGACTTCAAAACAGACAGAGCGACTTTTCGCTGACCAAATCTCCTTCAATTTGGATGATGCTCACATACCAACACCCCCCTACGCCCCCATACCCCCAACTGCACTTCAAATGGAGCTAATGGATCTTCAGTGCAATTCTAAGTTCAGGGAGGTGAATGGAAAAACAGACAAGCATGGAAAATTTATGAGAGCATTGCCCTCCACCTTCCCTGAGATTTCCAGGTTGTTCAAGCGGATTATGTGCCTTTTTGGGGAGTACCTAATCTGTGTGAAAAGCTCTTTTCCACTATGAACTTTAACAAGTCAAAGTTTAGGACCCAACTTACTGATAAGCATCTTTAAGCTATACTGAGGGTCTCAGTTGCTTACTCACTCAAGCTAAATTTTGCTCAGCTGTGTAAGAAGAAGCGCTGCCAGATCTCTGGCAACAAGGATTAGGAGGAAAAAAGTGAAACCTAGTTCTTAAGAACCCTTTATGTTTTCATTTATTATTAATAAAGGTTCAGCAGATTGTAACAGTTATAATTTATTGTCTTTGTAATTGCTTTTTTGTGGAATACTTGATGCGGCCCAGTCTCACTCAGACTCCACCTCCTGCAGCCCCCGGATGAGTTGAGTTTGAGACCCTTGATTTACAGGCTTGAAATTGTAAACGTTCATGTTATGTATTCTTTTGTGACTTACATTGTGAAGAAAATAAAAAAAGTAGTAAAATGAAAGTTTGTGCTCAGCGCCAGGTGGTAATATTATTTGCATTGAAATTATGTTGATTAAAAAAATATACATATTATTTTCAACAGGGCTATTGCTTGTATAGGGCCCTGGCCTGCTCCATCACATCCTTCTATTCAGATAGCTGGCTATGGCTTTTCTTTTCCATGTGTGGACCCCTGCCGATGTTACTCTACATCATCACTCTGACTTTCTCTAATATTATATTTTATTCAATATATTACAGACACTGGACAATTTGCCTCTTTCCCACCCTGAGCATTTTGGAACTCCAGTATTGCAGAACAAAAAGGCCAAACGTAAACATGAGTATGTCTTTTTATCATTTGTATAAAGTTCTTTGAATTGAGGTTTGTTTGTCATGAATTTCACTTTTAAAAAAGCCTAAAAATTTGTCAGAAATTAAAAATTTTTAAAAAAATTTAGAGCTCGTTTTAAAGCAGGGTGTAGTTTTGTATTTTGGATTACAGCTAAAATTAAGCCACTTTTCAATTTCATAGTTATATTTTATTTTCTACTGTGATTGATCTATTAATAACAGAAATGAAAGTGATGAAGAAGTAGACACTTCTGAAGAAGAATCTCCAAGGCGGGCTACATACCGTGGTCGGCATCAAGAGCTTGTGGGCAAGTTAATGTTGGTAGATCTTCCACAACGCAAGGGCTCACTTATACCTGCATTGGTCGTGCTGCCTGATGCCAATAGCCTAAATGAAGTGAAAAATAGAGATCAAATTCTTGTGAGATCTTTTAAAGATTCAAAATTGTAAGTCCCCTGTCAACTTATTAGTTTTAAAATTAGATGGGATATTTAGATTTATTTTAAAATCTAAATTCCTTGTTTTGCCTGATGGCCTTTTTTATGCTTTACTCTTCCCCTGTCAGTTGCACATATATTTGTAAATTTAATCCGAATTTAAGTTTATTTCTGCAATTAAAATATGAATGTTTTCCTGTTTTTACATTATTTTAGAGCTTTGTATTTGTCAACCTGGAGCCTAGGAGAATAAATTGTTTTTCAGCGCCGAATTTAAGCTTATTCCTGCAATTAAAATATGAATGTTTTCCTGTTTTTACATTATTTTAGAGCGTTGTATTTGTCAACCTGGAGCCTAGGAGAATAAATTGTTTTTCAGCGCCAAATGTGGGGGGAAAATGGGGTGGGGGGCTTAAAGAGGATAAAGATTTGATAAATACATAATTAAAGCTAATTGTTTTATTTATTTTTTTTTTTTCAGTATGGTTGTCACGCGCAAGGATCTTAAATACTTTTCAAGAGCTGTTGTTATAAAAAATGAAGACAAGACAATGAGAAAGCTAATTGTTTTATTTATTTTTTTTTTTTTTCAGTATGGTTGTCACGCGCAAGGATCTTAAAGACTTTTTAAGAGCTGTTGTTTTAAAAAATGAAGACAAGACAATGAGAACAGGTTTGTATTTTATGGGGGTGGGAGGGGGGGGCATTTCTTTACAGTTGAGGTCATTAAAATTCACTATGACAACATTATTAAGTTGTGGTGGCACGTGAAGTATATAATATTATGTGTTTAAATTTCAGCTATTGAAAAGGCTCTTCTGTATTTTGATACAAAAGAGCTGCCAGTTGGTTGGGATAAACAAGAGATGCTTGGATCTGATTTGGAAGACGATGAGGATGGTGAAGAAGAAAATGAATATGTGAGTTTTTTTGTTCATACTCTGTCGTGGTCATGAATTTCTTTTATGTATAAAAATGTTGTTACTATATTAAGTGTTTCATTTGTTTCTCTGTATATAGGCCTCAGAAGATGAACCCTTTGAAGAAAAAGACAGATTTGTAGCTCAGTTGTATAAGTTTATGGATGATAGGGGCACTCCTATCAATAAAGGACCTTGTATTGGCAACAAGGATCTGAACCTTTACAAACTATTCAAAATAGTTCAAAATTTAGGGGGATATAATAAAGTAAGTAGGGAAATTGTACAATATTATTTGAAAGTTATCTAATCCATCTATATCTTCCCCATGTACATCTCCTACATTTTTATAAATGACAAATATTAGTGATGCTCATACTAAAAATATTATAAATCATTAAAAAGATGTTTAGACAAATTAAAATATAACTAGAATATTAATTTTTCAAATGCAGTTCTGTACTGTCTTTAAGAGATATTGTTATTAAATTATTTCTTTATAGGTCACAAAAGAGATGAAATGGCCTGTTGTCTATAGTAAAATGGGGCTGCCTTCACTACATCAAAATCCAGCTCACCAAATTAGAACAGCTTATAAAAAGTAATTTTTATTCAATTTCAATGTTTCTGTTTATGTATGTGAGCATATTGTTTTCCACTTATGTTTTCATTGTAAAATTTGGATTGCATTTTAGATGTAACTTATTTATTACATCGCCTGGAATCATTATTTTAAAAATTTCAGCGCTTCATTAATTCTTATAACTGTTACACTTCACGCTATAGCTTGTTTATGGTAATGGTCCATCATTAAAACTTTTGCAGGTATCTTGATGCTTATGAGACATTCTACCGGAAACTGGGCAGCACAATGGGAACTTTGAGTAGACCTGGTCGTGCTAGGCAGAACTCTGGAAGAAGCATACTGAATTTCCGGGGTAGAGAAAGAAGTCCACGCTCACCTAAACCCCCAGAAAAAGTATGTACTAATATTTTTTTTTCCAGCTACAAATCGGTCTTTTTCCTATTTTGGTTTGATCTTTTATTATCTACATGCTGCAATTGTACATGTTTTTTTCTTTAAGGGAAGTTCATCAAGCATAAAAATATATTGAAGTCAGATATCCTCAGAATAAATTAAACTTGACCCACTAGGCATAGTGTGGATGTGTAGGTTTAAATTTATTACTCTGTGAATTCCAGGTGAAGGAGGATACAGAGAGCCCCAAACGGAAAGTGGAAGTTACACCGGAGAAGTCTGAAGAAACCAATGATACCACCAGTCCTGTACCATTTGATGAGAATGATGTTGTCACTAGGAGAACTGCCCGTAGAGACCCAAGAGCTCTGTCAGCAAAGGATGAAAGTAAAGAAAAGAAAGAAGAAACACTAAAAGGAAAAAAGGATGATAAGAAAGAGGACAGTCTTAAGAAAAAGAAAGAAGATAAAAAAGAAGAAACTCCCTCCGCTAAGGGTAAGAAAGAAACTGTATTGCCAACACCTCGATCTAAAGAGGATGTCTTAAAAGGAAAAGATGATGTTAAAAAAGAAGATCGAAAATCATTGAGGAAAAATAAAGGAGAAGAAGAAAAAGAGGACAAAAGACTAGAAAAGGTTGTTAAAAAGGAGGAAGATAAGAAAGAAGAAGTTAAAGTTGATCTACCACCTACTCTTGAGAAGGAGTCTCCAAAGAAGCGGGTATGTCTTTGTAATAATTAATATTTTTAACTTTTAATTGTCCCTCTGAATTTAAACACTATTTGGTGAATTTAAAAATTGTTTATTACTTGCATCTCTAGTTATGAAAATTTACTGTCAGAGTTATTTTAAAAAAATAATATAGATTTTAAATCCTCAAAGTAAGCAATGGTCATGTGTTATAAAATTATATTGGTATTTTTCATTTTCAGCTAAGTATAAAAATTACCAATTAATGTTCATTTACAATAGGTGACAAGACGCAAGCTAATGTCAGCTGATCTAAAAAGTGATTCTGAATTAAAAGAGGAAGTAGATGATAAGAAAGAAGCAGTCAAGAAGCAGGCAACTAAGGAAACTAGCCTTAAACTTGTTGAAAAAAAAGAAATACCAAAGACTCTGGAAAGGCGAGACAATAAAGCATCAGAGAAAAAGGAGCCAGTTGTAAGATTGCCAGAGAAAACAGAACCAAAACTGTCAGATAAAAAAATTAAAATTGTTGATGATAAAAAGCCTAAAAAGGAGAAGAAATTGAAAGAAGATGATGTTGAGGAGCATACAGATAATAAGTAAGCTATTAATTTTTAATTAAAAATCTTTTAACATTGATTTAATTAAAGAATATATTTATATAACTCTGTTTGATGTGCATGCTTTAGTGGTGATTGGGGGGGGGGGGGGGTTAAATTTTAGTCACTAATGCGCACGAGACATGTGTTTACACTGTAAATTTATAAATCCTTATTTGGATGACAATGTTGCTTTACTTACTGGTATTCCCTTTAAATATTTTTTTTTTTTCATTCATTCAGCAACTTTATGCAGAATTCAGTACCTAGTGATGAGGAAGATGAAGCTGACACAGAAAAACTAGTCACAGATCCTAAAATGGACTTCCCAATTGGCTCCAAGTTAAAAGTAAAATATGGCAGAGGAAAAAATCAGAAAATTTATATTGCAAAGGTTTGTTATATATTGCTTTGCAGATAGCATTTTGAGATTCTTATGTTTGTTTTTGTGTTATTGATGATATTATTATTAACTTTTTGGTGAATATACAATAACACATATCTGATGTTGATCTTTGAGGTATTAAAAAATATTCTCATGTGTGATGGTGGTGTGATCTTCTCTCAAATTATAGGTTGTAGACTTTGGGAGAGATGGACTACATAAAACTTATCTAGTGCACTATGCTGGCTGGAATACAAGGTAAAGAGATTATTTATATGTCTTGATGAAAACCTTTATAAGTTACTAGGTAAGGAATATAATCATGCTTTTTTAATTTATTCCCTTTTATGTTTGTAAATATTAAAACACCATTTAACGATTTATATTTCTAATAACTTTTGTTATTTTAAGATTGTTTTCATTTTTCTGCTATAGATATGATGAATGGATCCGTCCAGACAGAGTTGTTGCTATTTTGGATAAACCTACAGATGGTGAAAATAGAATTAAAACACCTCCATCAAAGCCTCTAGTAAGTTATAAACATGGCAGTTTTTCACGGTTTTGTTTATCTTATTTCCCAAAATATAAATGCTGATATTCATAATGCCATGGAAGTATTAAAAAAACAAAAATAGGATTGTGATATTTGCACAACTGCAAGGTCTGTGACTGAGATTTTTTTTAAAATATAAAAACTTATGCTCTTCTAGTATGCTAAGACCTAGAAATATGATGTTTTATAGCATTCATTTATTTATGTAGGCTAATTATTCTACATTTGATGTAACATACATCTGTTTTCATTTTCAGATTTCTTCAGGTTTAAAGAAAATTAGCAATGATGAGTCCAAGACTCCAAGTCTTAAAAAATCTGGCCAAGTGTTCCGTACTCCCAAGATGATTGGGGCTAAAACTAGAGCTACACGCTCCTCCAGTTCTGACACTTCAGTTGTGGGCAAGAGTTCAGGTTTGACAGAGATTTCCATTAAAAAATTATTTGTCTTTTACTGTCATGCTTAATTTTTTTTAGAATGTTCTAAATTTCATATCATGCCATTTAGATAAAATTCTGAGCTGTTTTTTTTTTTGTATTTTCTGTTATCTAATCAATGTATTTTTAATTTCAGACAAAAGACTTACAAGGCGACGTTCAATTCTTGCAGATTCCACTGGCTCTAAATCACCTGGTATGATTAAGCTTCAATTACACATGTATTTCTTTCATCATAACGTAAGCCTTCAGCAGCTAAAAATACTCTTAAATGTAACCTTTTTCTTGTTCAACATAAAGTTAATAGTCTATCAGCAAGTTCCTGTTAAGGTAGTTGACATGTCTACATAATGTTTCATATTAAACATTTTGAACTTCACAAATGTATTCTTTCCTCCCTCAAGTCTCCATATTGTTATCTTTATTTTGATAGAAAGTCACATGAGCAGTGATGCTGAGGATGCTACAGGATCAGAGAGAGCTGATGACGATGATGAAAATACCAAGTCTGAGAAAGAAGATGAGGATGACATTTTGAATGTGGACGATGATGAAGAGGATGAAGATGATCCAGAAAGAGAAAAGTTTGTTGATCTAGACACAAGTTTAGAAGAGGGAGAAAATGTGCTTAAGATCACATCATCCTCAGAGGCAGGGTCGGAAAGAATAGAAAATGAAGAGCTGGAAGAACCTAGGCCTGCTGGTTCAACAGAAACAATAGATTTTGAACCGTCTGAAGAAGAATCCAATGTTAAAACTGAAAACAAGAAAGAAATTAAAGATACAATTGAACCTGCAACGGAAGCTCTTGGGAAGGTCTCTAGTGAAGCTAAAAAAATAGCACAGGCAGATTTTAAACCAGAAAGAGCTTCAGTTTTAGTATCAGAGGTTAAGAATGCTGTAGATGAAATTAAATCATTGGAATATAGTGATGAAATTAATTTAGTGGAGGGGGAAGATGTAAAAATTAGTGATGGTGAAAACACTGTAGTTGAAAGTGATAAACTTGGAGTTGATAGTGAATCTCACGACTTGAAAACAATTGAAGAAAGTATAACAGAATCCCCCCATGATGACACAGAATCTCCAGAAGTAAAACCAAATGTCTCTCAAAATATTAATGAAAATTGTGCTCCACCAGCAGAAGTAGCAGATGACATAATAAATCAGACCATAAAAATAGAAATTGCAGAAGATCAGGATAAGAAAGATAAGGATTTCGACAAGCCAAAATTGGGCAGGGGGAGAAAGAAGGACACTGTGGCTAAAGATGCAAAAAGACCCTTTAAGGCACTGGATGTAACTACGGGGTTAGGATCAGCACAAGAAGTCCCTAATCTAGAGCCCTTGGGGGTTGCATCAGGTTGCGCCACCAGTAAAACAGACCCATCTCCTTATGATTTTGATGCTGAAGTGGAGATGCCATGGCAGCCAGAAATCACCAAAAAGTGGGAACCTACTCTTAAGACTCCTGTTAAAGATGTGAAAGAGCCGCTTACTGGTTCGGAAGAAGGGGATGAAAAAGATAAAAAGAAAGTAAAGAAAAAGACTAAAAGAAAGAACTTGAGTCCAGATGTAGTTGGTGAAGTTAAAGTTAACGAGGAAAGTTTAGCCTCACCAGATATAGCAATTGACAATATTTCTAAAGAGGAGACTCCATCAGCAACTGCTGTTGCTGACCCTTGTAGTGAGAGGCCAATTCCTAAAAAGAAAGGGAGAAAGAAGAAAGAGCTAAGCAGTGAGGCTAAGAAGGAAGTGATTGAACAATATGAAAGTACAGTAAATAGTGTAGTCGAGGCTGTGAAACATTCATTACAGGAAACTGAATCTGATCATGAACAGAGGCCCATTATAAAACGCAGAAGAGTGAAACGAGTTTCTGAGAGTGATAAGAAAGATACTGTTGTACGTGTGGGTAAAATGGGGAGGAAAGTGGTGAGCAGGGATTTCTTAAATACCTGTGTTAATGTAGATGCTGTGGAAGATAAGATTAAGGAAGAGCCAGTTTTAAATTCTCAAACTGAGGCCCTGTCACGGTCCTCACTTGCAGCCGATCTTGTTGCTGCATCTTCCAGTTGTCAGGATTTGGAGGATTCTTCAGTTCAGAAGGATAGAAGGAAAGAGCCAAGCTTTTCAGAAAGTCAAGGATTTGAACCTCAGCTTGAACAACATGATGTGAGTGCTCCATTTGACAATACTCCACCAACAACACCAGAACATGATGATGAACTCAGTGGTGCCATGCACCATCAACAAAACTTATACAACTCGGATGATCTCTCCTCAAAATCAGACACTCATAAAGATTCCATGAAAGTGGTGTGTTCCTCATCTTCAACAACGTCATTGATATCTATACCCGCCCCTTCGTCCGGTCTCGCCCCATCAAAATCTGCCAGCGAATCTCCCTCGGATAATGATGTGACCAGCACTGCCTCAACAGATAACTTTGACACCACACCCACCGCCCAGCAGTCTGAGAGTAGTGGAACAGACCAGGATGTACCCTCTTCTAACAAGAGGCGGAAACCAATGGAGGAACTTATAAATGGCCCAAAGAAGAAGAAAAGAATTCATGGCACAAGAAGCAGAACAGCTCAAAAATCTCCAAAATGTAAGTACATTTCCTATAGGCTCTCATCACTTAATTTTTTTAAACCTCAGAAACGGGTCTGAATGCTTTGAAACAAAAGTGAGACATCATTTCTTTCTTTTTTTTTAAAAATTCAAATATAAGTCTAACTGATTTAAACCCATGTTTTAAGTGCAGGTTGGGTTCCACTTTTTCCTTTTATTCTTCAGCCACTATTTGGCTAATGTTTTGGTCTTGATGGAAAGATTTTCATGGAGTTGGTTTTTGATTTCAATTAAGAATTGGTTCATACTGTTTTTCCTAATGATGAATAAGGGCTTGTTTTTACAGATAATTGTGCAACACTATATAAACACTAGATTATTTGTTCTCTCCAAGCAGCTTTAGGTCAAGGTTACATATGTAGGCAATATAGTTCATCTTTTTTTCCCCTTATTTTAAATTTGTTATGTATCATGGAAATTCTTTGGCTCACAAAATTTCATATACATTGCATACAAAAATTGTTCTTCAAAGTACATTGTTGGGGGGGGGGGGGGGAAAAAAAAAAATAAACTTTGTTCTTGTACAACATACTCACCAAAAACTGGTCAAAATTTAATAACGAACAGCTAGCTCTCTAAGTACAGGACATTAAAAAAATGTTTTTCTTTTTTTAGAACAAAATCTTCTATCTTCCTACTTCGAATAATAAACCCTGTTAACACAGTCCAATTTTATGGACTTCGGTTATAGCGGGGGTCCCACCGCATTGCTCACTACTTATCAGTAGTATTAACAAATGATTTTCCACATGTATTAAATATACCATTGTTTGTTTCACCAACAGATACTGGAAACTTTAACTCAGATTCCCAGGGCTCAGCATCAAATACACCCAACCATAGTCCAGATTCTCCAACAACCAAATTACAAGACTTGTCAAAGTCCCCTAGACCATCCAAGTTTAACTTTAGTGCAGGTGAGGCAGATCTCATAAATTATATTCATTTTAAATGTGAAAACCATAAAAACCATATTGCTGAACGGTATCTGAAGGTTTTTTAACCCTTTCTTTACCGATGATTTCGACGCGACGTTATGGTCAGCCACTGTCAATTACCAAGGGCGTCACATTGTCATCATAACCAAGAGGCAAAGAACTTTTCTAAAATACCATGGACGTCACGTCGATGTCTTATTTCAATGCTATATATTTCTTTATTCGTTAATCTATAGAGAAGTTAATAAGCGAGTGGGATAGACAATGAAAAATACCGAAAGTTCTTATTTTGAAGTTTTTTTTTTTTTTTTGCTGAGTAAGCAAAAATCGATGCCCAAAACCAGCAGTAATGAAAGGGTTAATCAAAGCTTAGTAGAAGAGTGATCAATCTTTTAGCTGTCAGGTTTAGCTGAATAGTGGGAAATTGGGTACCAAAACTTATACCTTAAATATTTTCTTTTAAAATTCATTAAACTATTCTAAGAGATTAATCCCCCTATTTTATTAGTTTCTATCTGTTAGCCTGATTAAATTGCATATTATATTACTTTTGGGGCTAAATGAGTAAAGAAATATATGTAGAAAGAATGTAAATCTTTTTTTATTTAATTCATGTCAGATCTAGGAGAGTACCTTGAAGGAGAGGCAAGATGTAATTTTCTCATAACCAAAATGAAAGAGATTAAATCCATCTACATGAACTTAAAATCTGAGGTGGCCAGCATAGATAGAAGAAGAAAACGAGCTAGAAGAAAGGAGAGAGAGTGTAAGTTTTACTTTACTTGACATAGTTTTAAAAAAAACTCTTTATTCATATTTTAGTGCAGACTTGTGTTAAACATTGTTCGCCAAATAATCCAACTTGTAATATCTTAACCACTGTCAAAAACTCTATAATAGAAAAAGAAGTGTCATGATGAGACTTGTATAACTTATTTGTCTTTTATCCCATCAGCTTCCCAAGTTTCAACAAATGAAAGGGATACCACAACATAGTATCAGCTGTATCTTGCTGCAAAGTTGTGTCTGCCTGTCACCCATCTGGTACCAACTGATGGCTTGCTAATCTTTGTAATTCAAATGGCATTATTGGAAAATCCTTTAGTAAATATTAAATAATGTTTTAATTACAATTTACAGGTCTGTATGTTTAAAATATTACACTGAAATTGTCAATCAAGATTATTTTGCAGGAAATGATTTAAATATTAATTTTTTTTATGATCACTAATCAGGTCTTATGAACTAATCCTTATAAAGCCTTACTCTTGATATTTTGTTTTATACAAAAGTTGGTCATGTTGGTTTTACTGAAGATGTCACAAGTTTTTCTTTAAATATCAATTCATTCAGGTTATAATTCTCTTGTGTCATATCACATTGAAAAGTCACTCTAAAGTTTAAAATGTATAAATTTATAAATTGTACACTTGGAATAAGTTAACTTGTCCTGAATGTTTTAGTTTTAGGCCATTTGGCCACTTGACTTATCCTGAATTGATTATTTATCTCAATATAATTAATATAAAAAATGTTATATTTCACACAACTTGTGTATGAGGCAAATTTTTACCCTGCTGCAGATTTCTTCTGCCAGTCATCTCTGTATTTTAAAGGTCAGGGTAGAATTTGTCATGTCTTGGACAAAGCTATATATATATATTTATTTATTTGTTTAAATATGTAAATATGTTTATGTATTTTAAATAACCTTTTTTATATTATTGATGAGAAGTAGTTGATGTGTTTTAGTCATTAGTCTTTACCATGTCATTGTTGTTGCTATTATTACACTTTGAAAACAAATCAAACCAGAAGATTGTTTGAGTTGACCTGTTCAAAGCTCATTCCTCTGACTTCAGAACTTTTGGGTTAAACTCTGCACAATCCACTAATTTCTTCAAATTGTTGGCATCCTAGGGTTGCACCGACTAATCAGCAGGTACCAAGGTAATTAGAATTAGAGGGGCACTCCCTTTTGTTTCTTTTCCCTGTTATTGTAATAATAATTATGACCCTTGTTCCCATTAACCTCAGTAGCTTTATACATGTGATTTGATACAAAATAGTATAATAAATTACCACAATAATATAGTTTACAATTTTATTGGCATTGCAAAACAAAGTACCTAATGAATTGGCATCAGCTGTTGTTGCAGCAAGGCAGATTAATCTGTAACTGGCAGATATTGGTAATCAATGCAACCCTAAGGCAACCACAACATCACTGCTTATTTAATTTATCTCCATAACTTTTTTAATTAAGTAATTCAACAATTGTGTCAAGTTGTTAGAGCCCATTTCAGAGATTGGATAACTGAGTGAGATAGGGGGACTTGATCGCATGGCCATGACCAGATACTGTTAACTGTGTCTGTATTTAAATTAATTCATGAAATTTTTCTTTATAACTCATCTCTGGTGCCGCTTGTGCATGCTCATGTTATTGCTCAAACTCAGCTATTGTAAACCATTGAAATAAGAAATCTTTATTCCCCTTGCACAAAATTCCTCCAACTAAGGAGCTGAGCTTTTTCCCCACTCTATAAGGTTTACATTTTACAAATGCTTGTGTTGAAATATTTTAACAATGAATTGTCAAATTTTAATTTTTTTTTTTTTTAATATTTATTTGCCCAAAGTATTCCAATAATATATTGAATTGAGAGCTTGCCTATGGCAATTAATAACTCTGTTATACAGAGGCATTTCAAGCCCCTATGAATGGTTACAGCAAGGTTGTACACGACTTGTATTGTTTGAGGTACAATCAAATGGCCATTGTTTTGCAATTGTTTACAATAATCAGCTTGGAAGTTATGAATGAGAGTTACCTACATGCTTTTGCTCCGAGACCCCTTCCCTTCATGTTGAGTTTACACCAATGTCCTTGGTCAATAACATGACTGCTGAACAATTGTTAGAAAACAGCTTCATGGGGCTGTAACACACAGAGTTTCTGAGAGTTATTCTGCACAAAATTCTGTAAGGCCTTGCAGAAGTTTTGAAAAGTAGAAAATTTCCTGAATCTGACAAATCTCTTGACAGTACTGAAAACTGAATTTTCTTTGTATGCATCTGTACAAACGTATATCCTGCCAACATTGTTGAACATCCTCAAGTGCTGGCTATATGCTGCTTGTTGAGTCCATGACTAACCCATTGCTCCTAGTAATCAAGAAATACTCAAAATGTTTTGGAAGGAAGACTACTCTTGTCGTTCCTATGCATTGAGTCATGTAGAGACTGTAAGATTTGATAGCTTTTTTTTTTTTCTTTTATATCCCACGGCTGCTCTGTGACACTTGACAGTGCTGTTCATCCCAAGTGCTATTTCTTGAAGTTCCCGAGTCAACCAACTTATTTCGTTATCCATTTACTTGGATATGTAAATAACCATTGATCATGTATTTGCATTCTTGGCCTTAACTCGCACTAGTTTCATAACTAAGCTTATTATTTAATATCATGGTGCAATAAATTATTATGCTGTGTGAGAATTGTTTGAAATAGTCTGGTTTACAGTACACATGAGGCACAGGTGCTGACTGTTTCAGCATTCAAGAACTCCCACACTGATGTAACTGTCAGCAGTTACAACCATACAATGACACTAAAAGGCATGTTACAGCATTCAAGAACTCTTGACACTGCTTTAACTGTCAGCATTCAAAGCTAATGACACTATTGTAACTGTCATGCAATTAGGTTTGTTCTTGTCAGGGTTCAAATACTTTGGTTGTATTTGTCTTTTTGTATTTGTCTTTTTTTTTTCTTGATGTATTACTTGATGAGGTACTGTTTGATCAAATGAATTGGCCCAAAACATGATCCTTTAAACTCAAAGAGTTTCATAGTCGGCTGGTCTTGATTAGTTTGGGGGGAATGTACAATTTTACCTAACACAGCTCCATTAATTTTTTTTATTTTTTTGTTTCTTTTCATCAATTTAAGAGTTCAGTTTTATTTGGTTTCTTTGGATGGGAAATAGCTTTGAAAATGTCCCCTTATTTACTCTCTAACTCTGGGGCTTGTAAAATGCTGCACCAAAAACACAGCATGTGTGACATGGGATGTATGAGCTTAAAGACTTAATGACAAATGGATTAAGATTGCAGCACCCCTTCTAGTCAGTGCACTTACTCACTCAATAGAACTGCCAGTTTTTTCATGGACTTTAGTGTAAGACAACATTCTTTCCTAGCCCTGTTCTTGTTATGTTTCCAGAGTTGGTCTCTGGCTCTTCTCTGTAGTCTCCTGCTAAAAACCTGTATCTCTGGTCTGCCATGAGAGAAACAGAAGAGCTTCACGTGATACACTTGTGATTGTTTTTTATATCAGCCATTCTATGTGGGAGTCGGGGAGGGGAGAAGGATGTTATCCATTCCGATCATTATGTCCTTGATGTGTACAGATCATTATGTCCTTGATGTGTACAGAAATAAAACATTACTCATAAAAGTGTTTTTGACATTTTTCTTATTCGACTAATTATTGGCATGGAAGGAAGATGAATGAAAAATAAGTGTTCTAACTTGAGCCCCTGTACTAATATATCTTTCTGACATGATTATTTTCTGCAGAGCTACATAAAAAAAATCAGATAAAATATTGCCAGCAAACTTTCACACTAACTGTTGGTTAAAATTGTTCATTAAAGAGTCAACAGCCCAAAAGTTGTGCACACTAGGGTTTCCCGGGGAAACAGGAAAAGTGTTTTCCTCATCCCGGAATAAAATTAATTTAATTCAAACTATTTTATGAACTGAGCTAAAACGTTAAAAGAGTATCTTTTTATAGTTAATTTTCTATTAATGAATTTTTTTATAAATGTTAAGGTTAGTCAAGAGGTTGGTCACTTGCTTCTAGATGTAGCATTCTCCACGGCTCATTCCTTGCAATGGATAACAGATAATAATTGTGTTTGTTAAGCACAAGTGGACTATAACCACCTGTAGAAAAATACATAAAACTTTTATGAGTTTTGCAGTCTTTGCAGGTCGCTTATTCTAGTGTTGAATCCCTCATTAAATACCTACAAGTACAAGCAAATGTTTCTAACTTGTAAGAAGGGGCTCGTTTCGAATTTTAAAAAATTAATAAGCCTACAGTTAACAATACTAAACGTATCTTTTGTTTGTATTTTTACAATGTTGATTTTTAAAGTTAAAAAAAAACACTACATAATATTAAAAATGTAATTTTACAAATAGGTCTTTGTGATAATCGTGTTACTAGAGCACATGTTTTCAACACATGGTACTATGGAAGGAGACCTCAAATGGGGTTGTGAATGGATTTCTGTTGGGGCCGCTCGTTGAAACAAGGTAGTCATTTACCTCATTATTAAAAAAAAAAAATGTTTTTGCTTTGTTTCTTAAATTTTGAGTTTCCTTTTAATCATGGCATTAAACTTTGATATGTTTTCCTTGCTAAAAATGTACCCTATTTGAAAGCTCTTTTTCCAATATGTTGTGGTAAGGGTCATTTTATTCTACATTATGAATTTGATCAAAACTTGTAAACGATTGAGAACCTGCGTGCTGTGTAGTAGCACTAGCTACTTTATATTTTACAAGTCCTGGTTTATAGTTATATTATTATAGCGAAAATTTGTGACAATCTGTGCCTTACTGAAATTTAAAAAATACAAGAAAATTGTATTTTAATTGTGCCGATTCGGGTTTTCTCCGGGATGGGATAATTGGCCGGGAATTCTTTTGTTTACTAAAAATCGTGCGGAATCCCGTAAGAGAAACCCTAGGGCGCACAGTAATATAAATCTGTGTCTTCCGTCGTCCATTATAGAGAGCAGCGCTTTGTAAAATTGATATCACTACGTGATCGTCTGAGCCAATGCCAATAGGAACAGTACAAATTATTATTGTTTGGCTATTTATTTTTTATCTGGCAAACTTCCAATCATACAAATAATTAACACTTTGTGCGAGGTTTTTAAAAAAAACACATGAAAAAAGGACATTAAAACTAAAATTCGCATTCCTTAGTCAAATTTTCCAAAAATTACCAAATTATCAATTTCTAAAAATTTGATCAAAAGTTCCCAGGATTTGCGAAATTTCCCAGGAGTTATAAACACAGGCGCGCCCTCATCCCCCATGACCAGATAACATGATTTATTTCTCAATTGTTTAGGGCCGTGTACGTGAAATAGAGAAGCTGTTCCTGTTCTAGGTTACGTGGCCCAAACTTCCCAGAACAAAATAGGTTATCATCATGCTAAGGTATCAAATAGCCACGTGGCCATCCCACAGTTGACAGTGCTTCTATTTCCTAGAGTGTCGTACGGTCCATACTATTTACACAAGAATATTTAAGCGCCGTAAGACTAGTACCATTTTCCCCAATAATATAACAGATGCGATAAAATATATAGTAAATATACTTCGTATCAATATTATTATAGATGAAACAAGCCAGACGAGATTTAAGTTTGGCACATCATGTATCGGCCCTACAAATAAGAAGAAAACTGGTCTGTTAGCTCTTCGAGGGAAAGCACCGTGTCTTCCCTCTGAGAGAACAGGAACTGTAAGTGAAAGGAAAATATTGGCAGCCACTATTATGAAAAAACCGTCGGCGGAATTTTTTTTTTTTTTTTAAAAAAAGGCAGCCTTAACAGAACATGATACATTTATAAAGTCTTAGATTAAAGAGGATTGAAGGAGGGGTACCGAGAGAGAACATCAGCAGACCAAGACTTGGGTGATTTGACTTATTGGGGAAAGGGTCTCCGGGAGCTGGCAGTCTTAGCATGGAGCTGGAGACGAAAGGCCATTGAAACTTAGCTCTGAAAACAACATAGATAATATGTATCCGAAGTCCCTTAGACAGGTTGTGAAAATAAGGGGGCAACCTAAAATCATATCAATTTTGTAGACTACACCGCCACCGAATGGTGTAGGATACTTTGGACCATGCAAATGGGACAATCGCTTAGGGTGGTATTTTGGGGTTTATAGGCCTATATAAGATAATTTGTGTGTGTGTTAGGGTTGAAATCCCCCCCCCCATCCACCCCACCCCAAAATGACATATGAAAACCCAGATTAAAATAATTTAATATTTGTAACATCAGCAACTCTCGCGGTTTCGGTTGTTTCGATATCATTATAATGGGGTATTCCCAGTAGTGGACACCATTTTAGAGTATTTGTTGCCAACGGTCATATTTTAAGCGGTTAATATGTCATTAGTATTATAAGGGCATCCCTCATCCCGTTCATCAGGAGCCCACGTGTCGTCGGACAATCTGACAATCCGGCCAGTCCGCATACTGGGATACCAGTGACCCAAATGCAACAGTGTTTTCAGGAGATTCAACAGTCTATAAATAAATTTGCTTGCGGTAGGCGTCACGTAATAATATTGATGTATATATATATATATATATATAGTTTCCTTTGGGGCTGGATTTCCGTGAAGGGATTTCTGCCCCACTTTCGTGATGACGTCACTGAGGGAATGTATCCAATCAGACGGCACGTAAACAGGATAAAAGCAGACGAGTGTTTTCCTTACAACAGGATTACAAAAATACACTCTGCACTAAACATCGTGGACACTATACGCGCAGGAACAACTGTGGTGTTATTTGTTTTTAGTATCACATTTTCTTCATTATGGAAGCCATCTTCTACGTCTCTTTAGTAAGTAACTGTTAATTAATATACAACAAATATACATTTTGAGCTCAACGAGTGCTTCTAAACTCAACACCCGGTACTGAATAACTAACTGCAACGGGTTGTTTTAAAATCTTGCCACTCCCCACCCCCTATTTAAAGAAATTTATTAACTACCCTTAATTTCATAAAATAAAAAGACCAAATAATAATATCTATAGAAGACCTTTTTACCTATGGGTTAGTGTCGGTGTATTTTTCAGCTCCCAAATACGTAGTTTTAAGTTCCAAAGAGTAATTTGGTCAATTTTTTAATTTAAAAAAATGGGGGTGGGGGTGGGGTTTGCAATCAAAATACAAGTTGTATAAGGTAATCCACTCAACTGCTTTTTTGTGTAAGTTAATACAAATAAATATACATGATATAGTCCTGCGATTTCTTTCTTAAGGATGAGAAAATGTAGGAGGCAAGCATTTTGGCAGTTAAGTATTAACAACGCAATTCTCTGAAAGATAATATTCTGGTTGGTTTATTGAGGTCGAGACCGCAAAGATCAATCACAGTTATTCCACAGAGCTATTCTCTATGTCTATGCAGTTATTCTTATTCGATTGCTTACGGTGTTTACACAAAAAAAAACACGGCAGCTTTTTACTGAAAACGCCCCAATGATTTATTTTTTAAAATTAAAATTAATACAAACAAACGAAGAAAAAAAAAACACCTCCCGAAACTGTAGTTGTTTGTTTTTTGTTTTTTGTTAGGCTGGTCGAAGTGCCATACTCTTAGGCTTAAAGACGTGTTTGTTAGGCTGGTCGAAGTGCCATACTCTTAGGCTTAAAGACGTGTTTGTTAGGCTGGTCGAAGTACCATACTCTTAGGCTTAAAGACGGGTTTGTTAGGCTGGTCGAAGTGCCATACTCTTAGGCTTAAAGACGGGTTTGTTAGGCTGGTCGAAGTGCCATACTCTTAGGCTTAAAGACGTGTTTGTTAGGCTGGTCGAAGTGCCATACTCTTAGGCTTAAAGACGGGTTTGTTAGGCTGGTCGAAGTGCCATACTCTTAGGCTTAAAGACGGGTTTGTTAGGCTGGTCGAAGTGCCATACTCTTAGGCTTAAAGACGGGTTTGTTAGGCTGGTCGAAGTGCCATACTCTTAGGCTTAAAGACGGGTTTGTTAGGCTGGTCGAAGTGCCATACTCTTAGGCTTAAAGACGGGTTTGTTAGGCTGGTCGAAGTGCCATACTCTTAGGCTTAAAGACGGGTTTGTTAGGCTGGTCGAAGTGCCATACTCTTAGGCTTAAAGACGGGTTTGTTAGGCTGGTCGAAGTGCCATACTCTTAGGCTTAAAGACGGGTTTGTTAGGCTGGTCGAAGTGCCATACTCTTAGGCTTAAAGACGGGTTTGTTAGGCTGGTCGAAGTGCCATACTCTTAGGCTTAAAGACGGGTTTACTACGGCGAAACTGTAGTTGTTTGTTTTTTGTTAGGCTGGTCGAAGTGCCATACTCTTAGGCTTAAAGACGGGTTTACTACGGCGAAACTGTAGTTGTTTGTTTTTTGTTAGGCTGGTCGAAGTTTACTACGGCGAAACTGTAGTTGTTTGTTTTTTGTTAGGCTGGTCGAAGTGCCATACTCTTAGGCTTAAAGACGGGTTTACTACGGCGAAACTGTAGTTGTTTGTTTTTTGTTAGGCTGGTCGAAGTGCCATACTCTTAGGCTTAAAGACGTGTTTACTACGGCGAAACTGTAGTTGTTTGTTTTTTGTTAGGCTGGTCGAAGTGCCATACTCTTAGGCTTAAAGACGTGTTTACTACGGCGAAACTGTAGTTGTTTGTTTTTTGTTAGGCTGGTCGAAGTGCCATACTCTTAGGCTTAAAAACGTGTTTACTACGGCGAAACTGTAGTTGTTTGTTTTTTGTTAGGCTGGTCGAAGTGCCATACTCTTAGGCTTAAAGACGGGTTTACTACGGCGAAACTGTAGTTGTTTGTTTTTTGTTAGGCTGGTCGAAGTGCCATACTCTTAGGCTTAAAAACGTGTTTACTACGGCGAAAGTGTAGGGGTAAACACAGGCGCGTCATTTCAGTTTTTTCAGGGGCCCGGGGGAGGGGGGGGACTTGGTCAGTTTGTTAAGTTGTTTATTGCTGTAGACGCCACAGTAAATAACAATTTAAATAAAACCTTCAAATACCTAAATGACGTCCCTGAGTAAACAGGTCTGCTATAAATAATATAGGAACAAATATTATATGATATGGCTAAACTTTTCTCTCACCAAACCTTACCCCATCCCCTTTGTTCTTGTGTGTGTGTGTGTTTTTTAAATTATAACTATGCAACACAGTTCGGAACATTACAATGTTATAACTTGCATCTATGTTAAAGTGTAGTTTTGTCAAAGTAAAACTCTATTTCATGGCAGAGTTTAATAGTGAATCCCATGGTTATGTCCATTTATAAAAAATATTGAAATGGACGATGATTGATGAAAATCTGAATACAGGATGCCAACATTTGTTTAACTAAATACGAATAAAGGGACTAGAATATATGGCCTAGAATATAAAGGCCTAGAATATAGGGCCTAGAATATATGGCCTAGAATATAGGGCCTAGAATATAGGGCCTAGAATAGACCAGTGCTTCTATTAGAGACTAAGTGGTAGTCAGCAGACCTGCACTGATCTGCAATCAACAGGCCTAAAGGTGTCGGCCTAAAAGAAGTTATGAAAATAGAAAGTATCAATAATTTTAGGACAACTCGCTGCTATAATATAACTATACTTTTGTGGGTCCATCACAACGAAAGATCTGAGAAGCACTGGCATAAAGTAAAAGATCAATAAAATACTAATTTGAAGATATTTTATTCAAATACGATGACTAGTAGTATGAAGATTTATCACTACCAATACTGACCCAAATCTTTCTCCCACCCCCACCCCACACTCCTCCACCTAACACTACCTGCCACTGGGGGGTGGGATCAAAAGAGAAACATGGGTTAACAGAATTGTAAAGATGCAGAAACAGAGCACTGGGATTTCCCTCAGAAATTTCATTTCTCCGTAAAAATGACAGTTTCTAATTATTGAAAGTATACGTTCTAAAAACCCAAAGTTATAAAATCCTATAGTATATCGTTCTTTGTAGTGGCTTAACTCGGATTAGTGCCACCTAGGGTGGGCCACTATTTTTTTTCCACTCCCTTCCACAGAATCTCTGTGATTGGCCGAAAATGCGCCGCCCTTCATAGAAATTTTTTTTTTTTAAATAGCCGCCCGGGGCGGACCACCCCCTCCAGAGCCCCCTCCTACCGCCACCGTTTCTAAGCCCCCCACCCCCCCCCACCCCCCCCCTTTCTAAGCCCCCCCCCCCCCCCCGCTTGTATCGCGATAAATCTTTTCCCTCGACTCAGAGATATCAACAGAATGGTAGTAACGTCACGTCAATTCATTATTTCCAGGTATTCCTTGCCTGCACCCACCCGCCCGTGACCAGCGGCACGCCCATTGACTCTACAACAGAAACCAGCCTGCAGCAGCACGTCGACCAGCTCGTCAATGAACTTACCTCGACCAACGAGCGGGAAATCTTGGCTTTCCTCGAAAAACTTGACGCATTAAACCCCGGCAGTGATGGACAGGTAGAGGCGGTCAACGACCCTTTGCGTAATGACACAGTCAGTGCCTCGGACAAGGACATCTTAGATTTCATTAATAAACTGGACAGCATGAATGGGGAGACGACTGGCAGCAGCATCCAGCCGACCAGTAAACAACCGCCCAACGACCCATCGTCCGAGTCGACAGACCAAGACATATTGGGTTTCCTCGAAAAGTTGGACAAGCTCAACTCTGAGACGGGCAACGACACAAACATTGACCCGATTCACAATGTGACGTCAACGGGTTCCGACGAGCAAGACATTTTGAATTTTATTAAAAAGCTGGACGAAACGAACTCGGAATTGTCTCAAGCGCCCGTCGAGTCTAACACCGCCGATCAGTTCGATGGTTCTCCAACAACGCGCTCCAGTCAGTCCGGCCCCACCGACGACGGGGCGACAGTTTTACCGAGGGTCGACCACTCTAAAGTTGTCGAGACCTCATCGAGCGGAAACCTTGACACGGCTGCAACAGACGCAGCCACTTCGTCGACCGCATTCGGCCCCGAGGATGAATTCAGCAACGACCAAGTAGTAAGTTCTCCACCCCCGTTTACGCCAGCTAAGGTTGCGGTGGTCTCCACCAGCTACTACACGCCAGTTCTAATCGCGATCTGCGTCTTGGCCGTGCTAATCGTGCTCGTCACTGCTGCTTTGATGTGGAAATGCTCGAACAGGAGGAGAAAAGACATGAGTCTGAACAAAGACTTCAACAGGTGGGACCCCCAGCTTCTGCGCCCAACCAAAGCCGACATGGACGCCTTCATGTTCGGCAGTCCCCTGCCTTCTGTGTCAGAGATGATCAAACAGTCCGCAACTGGTGTTAGCATGCGAGACGGTGGCTCTGTTACTGGACGCGAGTACGATGCACATCTTCAAATATAGGCTCAATGATCGAACAACCAAACTATTACAAAATATTTAGATATATATTGAAAGATACCTCATTATGCTCAGTGATAAAATATGTAAGACTTTCGTGGCCATTCAATGGTTCTGCTTTGATTGATATTTCAGATTGTTGAAAATGTTGCTTTCTGAAAATAACAAATTTAAGTTTAAGTTGGATATCGGGAAGTTCTTTAGTGAGCACGGTTGTACTTGTGCCTTTACATAAACTTGTGAAAAAAACTGTAAATAATCCGGTCTTCCAATAATTATCCTTTATTGTTATACTGTTATCCATGATGACTCTCATTGTTATTGTACAATGAAAATAATGTTCTGTTCATTAATCTAATTTCATCCTCACATTTCAGGCCACTTTTGTACATATAAAATTCAACTGAATTTATGTACTCATTATGTAACATAGTTTTAAAATAAATAATTAATCAGTATTTTTCTAAGAAGTGAAAATTATTTGGAATGAACTAAATACATGTTTAAAGTTGATATGTTGTAGTGTTTAAGGTAAAAGCTGATCTGTTGAAGAGTTTAAGGTCAAAGTTGATCTGTTGAAGTTTTTAAGGTCAAAGTTGATACGTCGTAGTGCTTAGGATTACACTGAAGCTCAAAATAAGTATGCAATTTGGGACCGTCCATAAAGTACGTCACGCTATTTTTTTGCCAATTTGTACTCCTCCCTCCCATCTGACACATCTCAGAACCCCCCCCCCCACCCCCCAATCTAAAGTACGTTACATTTTCGATCTTTTTTTTCCAATTTGTCCCCCCCCCCCCCACCTGACACACCCCAAAACCCCCCCCCCCCCACCCCCCAATCTAAAGTACGTTACATTTTCGATCTTAAAATTGTTAACAAATAAAAAAACTAATTACAATTTTATATAAAAACACACTTCACCATTAAATTGATAAAAGTGACGCCATCTCCTGTCAGTATACACCCACCACAACAGAAAGTTCATAATTGCAAGAATTTTTACACCCCCCCCTTTTTTTTCCCCACGTGTCACAAACTGTCACATTTTCTTAATTAATGATTTAAGTCATTATATTGGCAGATCTCGTCGAATCCAATGTGTTTATCGTCATCATTCATTTATGATTTATTCCTTGAAAGTGATCGGGTCTTCACTTGTTCTTCATGATTGTGACATGGCCAAGAATATTTTTGTCTTCGGGATTCACTTATCTCGACGCAGGCCTAACTTGTTTGTTGTTAATTTTATAATTATAAATATTTTTTATTATTAATATTTTTTTTTTTTACTTTTGACGTCCTACAATGTAAGATGATTATTACAATTGATGATGAACAAGTGCTTTGAATGTTGTAAGTAAAAAAAAAATAAAATAAATAAAAGAGCTAAATAAACTGTTGAAAATAACATTATTTCTGTTTTATATTTTTGTCTTGACGATACTAAAAAAAAAATTGTTTACATTTTGCTATCAGTGACGTGCAAATGTTGAGCAAACGATAATCATCAATTTAGAAAACACAACGCGGGCAGTGGTTTATTAATTGTTTTGTATTTCAGAAATAAAAATCACCTAAAAGCAGATGATAGGAATTATAACTACACTCGATTTGATCATTCAATCAAATCCCCCAGGCCCGACTTGTAAGGAGACAAGCAGGCCTACCTAGGAACTATCGATCAGGGCTGGAAGGCCTACATGTATCTTGTAATTAAACGAGGCCACTCTCAAGAAACTTCAATTACAAATACTATATGGAAATATATGTGCATTATTTTGTGAATGAATAAATAAAAACGAAAACTATTTTCTAATTATAAAGGTAACCAACCTTTTAATGACTTTATTTTGTCTGCCTTTTGTTAAAAAAACACATTTGAAAATCTGTTTGCACTTTAAAATTTAGATTCGGTCAAAAGTCCGCACGAAGTAAAAAGTAAGGTGGTCACGGTAACTTCACGCCTCTGACGGCGTATCCGGCGCATGAAGGAAAGTTGTTCGATTTTTTTTCTGGGGAAAGGGGGGGGGGAGGGGGGGGGGGGGGGGGAAATACAACGTTTACCTTTTCCCAATTTCTATAAAGTCCCTGAATTATTATTAATATTTTTATTTACAAGAATCCCCTTTGAACAAATTTCCTTTTGAATAAACACATTCGAACTAACTTCACAAATTTGTTTCCTACGAGGAATTCTCATTTCCCGGGATTTCGCTTTACCCGGGAAAATGTGAATAAAATTTATCCTGGAAAGCCCTAGATAAAATTTATTTAATAAAAAATGTATTATAAACTGATTTAAACTAGAAACGTTATCTGAAGTGTTAAAAAGAACTTTCCAATTTGATTAAGGGCTTTAAGATTATATACATGCCCTTTCTATGTTTCTATAAGTGTCTATGACATTATGGTCCTAAAATGTTATGAAATCAGATTCAAAGACATTTTTGAAATTTCTAGAAAGTTCTATTTGAGTGCAGGAGGTTTTAAAATATATTTTCCTCATAACAGCCAAAGCTGTACACGAAAGCTCTCGATACAAGCTTGTACGTTTTTTTTACATCCAGGCCAAACTTGGTCAACAAACGTTATAATCCTTTTGAAAATATCGTTGGATTTCAAACCAATAATATCCCCATTTTCTGTGCAAAGAGTAATGTGAGGAGGGAACCGGGGGGGGGGGGGGTTTTCCAGATTTATTATGAATAAAATGATTTATTTTTTGCGTTTTTCAATCAATTTTTATGGGACGATTTTGAAATCTGAGGGAGTTTTCGCTTATGTAAAATATAAAAGATTACGTTTTTTTAAAAAAATATCTTTGGGACCCAATAGAGAAAAAATTTAAAAAGCATCATGTTTGCAAATTCTCTCCAATTTCGAAAGGTTACAAATGGAAATTCAACTGAATATTTATCTGAATGATTTGTATAGATCCCCTCTCTTAGAGATCACTAAAATGGTCCTTATTGAACGAGGACATCATTTCATTTTAATTGCTAAACGGCACGTGCCTTGGCATATTGGTGAATACCTCTTTTTTTTTTTTTTTGGTGTAAAATAAGACATCTTTTAAAAGTTAGATTTGATCTTTTCAACCAGCTTGAATATTAAGTGGTTGGGGCTGGGCCCGAAATTAAATGTTTACAAGAGTTATTATAATTCTGGATTTTTAGAGCGAACAATTTTAAATGTAAATCGGTAATTTTGCGAAATGTTTTTTTTTTGACACGTCCATAAATTTACATGTACCTTGATCTTTAGACCAGTGTTTCCCAACGTGGGCCCACGCCCCACGGGTGGGCAATTTGATTGCTGATGGGGGCAATTTTGAAAAAAAAAAATGCTGCCTCGAATTTGAAAACCCACATTTAACTTGTATTTTAAAGGGAGGATCGTTATTAGAGTCTAAATTTAAGATAAGCGTTCGAAGTGTTGAAAAGAATGCAAATTTTGAAAATATTAACAAATATTGTGTATACACTACAAAAAAGGGCAGACGAATGTTTCGAAATGCTTCGTTGGGACATGGCACGAAAACGTTTGGCAAACACTGCTTTAGACTTGAGACGTTTTTTCTCTTTCTGAAAACAAACCCGAGCAAAGATTCGCTCATACACACGCGCACACACATACATACATACATACACACATGACATACACACACACATATATATATATATATATATATATATTTATATATATATATTTAATTCTGCTTAGTTAACTAGATTATACAAATCTTAGCTTGTGTGTGTGTCTGTGACTTACTGATTTTTTTTTTTTATACACACATGACATACACACGCACATATATATATATATATATATATATATATTTATATATATATATTTAATTCTGCTTAGTTAACTAGATTAGACAAATCTTGGCTTGTGTGTGTGTCTGTGACTTACTGAATTTTTTTTTTTTTAAAAACCCACCAAAAAAACCTCAGAAACTTGTATTCTAAAGAGTTACTCGGGATTTCCCGGGATGGGAAAATTTGATGGGAATTCTTTTGTTTACCAAAAATCGTGCGGGATCCCGGGAGAGAAACCCTTATTCCTTATAATTTTCGGTACCCTCCGAAAGGCTATTTCCTCGGTGCATCGCTGTCTTCCAGAGATGGTGATGCTGGTAAACGCCTGGGTCCTTAGATTCACAGTTTTGACATCGTGATTAAAAAAAAAAACACCCTGTTTTGGACGCCCCACTGTTGTTATGGACGCCCCACTGTTGTTATCGACGCGTGCCAGGACTAAAATGACGACACCTCCTAATAAAGGAACAGCACTGATGCGTCAAAGATGGGAATAATTGACCCCACATCTGGACGCAGGGCCGGTAGCCTACGTCAATACCGGCTCACAGGTCTAAGTTGTTGGCGCATTTCAAACTAACAGAACCTGACCTCGTGACCCCCTCATACGGCGGGCGTGTGTCGTAGCTGATGCGGTAACGCGTCACACGTCAGGTACATTAATGAGATTTTAATCATCACAGTGATCATCGTTGACAGAAGCAGTGGTTCTAAATTTCTCTCGCTCGATATTTTATTATTAAAAACAAGATGGTCCACATTTTGACCAGGTACCGTGGAGACGACATCCTATACCATTTAAACGAAAAAAAAAAAAGAAGATCAGTCGATTTGTCAAGGCTCCGGCTATTCGAACCCGGGTTCGAGAAGTGAGAGTTTGGGTTTATTAAAAAAATATTTTAAAGTTATTTTAGGGTTTGTAAGACAAAATTTGGTATCAAATGAAAGATAATTGAATGGACTATATGTTTGTAAACTTACTTTTTTAGTTTAACTAAAATAAACTACCACAAATGACATCCGAATAGCATTGAGTTAAAGATGGACCCGGACACGCAGCGCCGCTTTTCGGACCCGGGTCCCTTTAGACTCAACTCAATGCTATTCGGGTGTCATTTGTGGTAGTTTATTTGAGTTGATCTGAAGAAGTAAGTTTACAAACATATAGTCCATTCAATTATCTTTCATTTGATACCAAATTTTGTCTTACAACCTAGCAATATATATAATATTTAATTTTAATCCCAACCTCTCACTTCTCAGACCCGGGTCCGAATAGCCACTTCGTTTAGTCAAAAGTGAATTTCTCAACCAAATAGCCACGGGTACCACAACAGACTGTTATGAGAAACACTGATCCAGATATTGTCTGGGGGGGGGGGTTGACTTGGTGTAGGGACTCCGGAAAGAAGCAGCGTAATACTTTAAGTCCTAAAGCTGTGGTGCGACGGAAGCGCACGCAATGTGACAGACGTCATTGGACGTTTTAGCGACGGAATAAACTGACTGCTTTATAGCCATGTTTCTTTCGATATGTCGGGTTGTCCTGATTACAGGTGGATAGATTGTATTCAATGTATCCTAAAGCTAGTTCACGTACATCATTCGGCTGGATAGATTGTATTCAATGTATCCTAAAGCTAGTTCACGTACATCATTCGGCTGGATAGATTGTATTCAATGTATCCTAAAGCTAGTTCACGTACATCATTCGGCTGGATAGATTGTATTCAATGTATCCTAAAGCTAGTTCACGTACATCATTCGGCTGGATAGATTGTATTCAATGTATCCTAAAGCTAGTTCACGTACATCATTCGGCTGGATAGATTGTATTCAATGTATCCTAAAGCTAGTTCACGTACATCATTCGGCTGGATAGATTGTATTC